GCATCTATAACTTAAGCTGCCTAAAGCATTCTAACTGGAAAACCGGCTATAATTTAGTCCATTTTTATAAAAATTGAATAGTGTGTTATCACCATTTTAATTGGCAGCGTGGAATAAACTCCAATACCTATTGGTTTTTCAAAAATTCTGATAACTCACCTGACTTAATCTCAGTTCATTTTCCGGTCGCAAAAAATTTAAAGAGCTAAATACCTTAATATTGTTATAAAAATTTAAATTATGTAAGATTGATTAAATAAAATCACAATCGATATGATTAAAATTTTGTTTTGAAATAAATTTCTGTTTACAAGCATTCGGGTACAAAATTTATTGTTCTTTTTATTTTAAAAGTAGTTAAGAAATTATTTTCAAAATAAAACAGTAGCAATAGAAATAACACACAAGTATAGATTTAACATACCAATATTATTACATAGATAACAAAATATATATATGCATATATTCACATATTTTTATTTATTTTTCGATTTGCATAAAAAATAGAAGAAAGATAGTCCAAAGGGAAACACAACTGATTTATATATTGAATTTTCCCGTAAGGATATTTCCAAATAGACATATACATACATATTATTTCCCATTATAATAACTTTTTGAATAGAAAAATAAAATAATACACGAACAGGGACGATACTACCATAATTATATGAAAAGATATGAAAAGTGCACTAGAGGACGCGTTGTTTAGGATGGGTCATACAAAAATAATACTTAAGGTAAGAACAAGGTTATTAAATGCATTAGCTTAACAAGATTATAAACTTGAAATTAAAATATAAACGAGTAAGTCATAACAAATTCAAAGTGTTATACACCCCCAAATGGGTTGTGAACTTGATTTTTGTTATACAAAACTTAAAATTTGCTTGTATTTGCCATTGTTACTCAGAATGAGTAATACTGTTCTAAAATTTCCTTTAAAAGAAATTTCATAAATTGAAAAATGATTTTATATTATTTTCGTCTCATTGCTCCATAAAATTATTTAAGCGCGTCATCCCTGCTCAAAATGAGTACCTTCCCTAAATTTATTTCTTCTCTATTTATTTTTATTTACGTATGTTTTTTTTTATTTTGAAATTTCTCTTGAACTCTTGTTTTTTTTTCTCTTTTATTCAATACTCACTCTTGTTTTGTTTTTTATCAGTCCTTTTGAATATTTCACATGTTTATGATTTTTCAATAAAATACCAAAAATTGTGACTTATTATAAATCGAAAAAAAGCAACAATAAAAAAGTGCATTTGTAGAATCAATGTTGTACAGCTTTCAGACTATCAAAATAAAAATAGCACTATAGAAGGCAAAATATATATATATACATTTATACATATGATGTCGTAAGTATTGACGCGTGCTTTATACAATGTGGTCATTTATGTAAATATATCTGTGCTGTTAGCTGTTATTAATCTAAATTGAGAGCCTGATCGTCTATCACGCTATTTTACTCGATATGTGAGTAGAAAGTAAGTAACTATTTATTTCTAACATTATATTTGTATAATATGATTTTCGAGTGAGAAAAATTATTCCGTATTAACAAATGTACTCAAAATTTATTCACTTTGTTTTTGAAGGTCAGTCATTCAGTCGATCCTAAAATGTAAATACGGATTCTGGTAGATTTATAGGTTTGTTAAACTGGTGTAACAGTAAATTGCTTTCCAAGAGCGTGAAGGTGTTATTCTACATAAAATCGTGAAATGTTATTCTATACAATGAATATATAGAGAGAAATAATTTTCAAAGTAACATTTTATCCCAGTTTCCATTTTCCTATCAAGGTTCAATTTCTCATTTCAAACAGAGGCACCACAGGCGGTTGAACGGACAAGTGTAAGGTAAGAATAAATAGGCACATTATTTAATGTACCAAATAGAATTTAATAAAATAGGTATGCATATATTTTTTTTTTAAGAAATTCAATAACAAATAAATAATTGAATAACAATAATTTTAAATTTTTAGGTTATCATAGGAAAAATCTATTATTGTTGTTTTATTCTTAAATTTGAAAACTGCAGCTCCTACATATATAGGCAACTAAATTCAAAAATTTAATTTAATTATCAACCCATACACTTGCAAGTATGTAGTTTCAATTTTCATATTCAACTTTAAAATATTTACTTTAAATTAAAATAGTTAAAATATGACTTCATTAGTTCTATTTTGTTTTTTATTTTTTTGGTATTTTTCGCCCCGTACTTTCATTCAAAATGGAAATTTACATTTACAAATGTATACATGAATATATGTACTTCCGTGCATGAGTAGAATATACATATACATATATATATACATACATACATATATTCAGAGCTATTAGTATTTGAATAAAATTATTAAAATTTTGTCCTTTTTTTTGTGTATACATCTTTTAAAACAGCTCTATTGCTAATAAATAAATAGAATCAAAATATTATACTCTGTTTTATTAAACAAAATTTAATTATATATAGTATGTATATGTGTATGCAATTGATAGTATCCCCCTGACGTAATAAAGAACAAACATTTCATCACGATTACAATGATACCACAGAAAAATATTGTTGGTTGCAAGTTCTGATATTATGCATAATATCAGCTCTGAAATATTTTCTATTATTTTAAACTCTTTTCTCTTGCTTTTCTTTTATTTTTATTTTTTTTTTCGTTTAATAAAAAGTAAAATAGAATTACTAATGAATCTTTCTTTTTTTTTTGGTTTTGTTTTTTGTTTTCAATAAACGGGCAGCCATTCATACTATACTGGATCATGTACAGCGTATACTAAAAATAATAGTGCCATAACAAGAAATATTTACTTTGTTTCATTCAAATTATTTGTTTACTGTTCGTTGGTGATCTCAATGGAAAATTTTTGCAATGCTAGTGTTTAAACAGAATATTGGACTGGATAGTCGTCTATTATTATGGAATTATTGAATTCTAAAAAATCTAATTCAAAAATTCTAGAAAATGTAATTCAAAAATATCAAACTTAGTATAGGAAAATCCTAAATAGCCAGCAAGCTAACATTATTAAAAACTCCCTCAAAGTCTTTGCAACAGGAAAACCGCCAAAGTTGAATTGAAAGTGCTTGTATTGAATAGAATGCTCTGCCGCTTAAATAACCTTATGTAATGCAATATCCGTGAAACTGTCAGCTATAGTTTTGAGTGTTGCGATTCTGAAAGCTGTTTCTTGGCTACTTAAACTGAAAAGAGATCAAACTATATGAGAACAAAAATTAAAAGACTTATGGATTAATTTGAGAAAAAAAATTTCTTTTCGTCTGTCTTCAATTTCGTCTTTTGTTTTAAAGTACAACATTAATTGAACTGTACAAAACAATTTTGTTGTACACAATAGCATAGAAACGCATTTAAAGAAAATTAATTTGTACATGTTATGTACATAAGTATATCGTGTGCACAGTATGTATATTTAAGTACAGTATGAATGTCTTATGTATATTCGTATATTATAGAAATTTAATATATGTATGTGATTTAAAAAAATATTTAGTAAAATCAAAAATTAAATGTTGCTTGCGTTTACGCTTCGATATTCAACATATTTAACACAAGCGTCAGCTCACTTGTATTCTTTCTTCTCTTACAGTATTCGTTCCAAATGTTTACAGTATAAATGTAAACTCTAAATTTAGTGAAAGGTTAGTTAACAAGGCTGTTATTAGCATTACATCATAATTTTAGTTTAGAATTTCAATGCAATGATTAACCAAAGATACTACAATATCCTTTTTATATTTTATATGGTTTTCTTTCACTCACTAACCCCTACTGATGAAAATCTAAGAGCTAATACCACATAACTGATAAAGACATTACTAAGTACTAATTCAGAAAAAAAAATTTTTTTCTTTTTATTTTTTGTAAAATATAATAAACATTTTTTCTTGTCAAAAAATTTATTAATCTCACGAGAAAATGAAAAGTTCTTTTATATTCCTATATTAACAGTGCATATATTCAAGTTAAATAAGGTACCAGTCGGGAATTTTCATAATTTTAATTTAAAAAGTGCAACCATCAATAATTAAAGATCTTCTTTCTTCCTTCTTTTTTTCTCATTTTGTGTAAAAAAAACTTTCAACACCAAAATTTTAATAAAAAATTTTTTATTAAATTTTTTTTTTATATTTTTGTATATAAAATTTTAATGTCCCGCAAGGAAAATTGAAATTTTTAATTTTATTTTGAAAAATTTTTATTTTGTTTATGAAGGTTTCGATTAAAGCAAATGTTTTTTAATTCTAAATTTCGGAGTTTGTAATAAAACTAAATTGGAAATTAAGAGAATTATTTTTAGTAAATGAATAGTTTTCAGTCTAATAAGGAGTTGACTCTGATCAGATGAAATTATTCTTAGTTTGGCAGTGGCAAACCCTCACCCCTAACATGAGTTCCGTTCGTAGCCCTGAAATTTGGAGAATTACCAATGTTATATTAATAATTCCGAATTACTAAAATTCTGCTATAAATATTCGTAACACAGTAATCATGAATTACGTTTGCAGTAAAAATAAATGTTAAAAGTCTACGAAAGATAAATATAAATATTTAACAATTGAAATAGAATACTGATTTTGACACTCCGAAAAATGGTGCTGCCATTGCTGATTCATAATCTCTACGATTGGAATTTGTGGTCATTCAAAAGTCTATATCGTAGCGAATTTCGTAATTTGTAGTTCGGTTTTTTCGATTAAAATTCATGACAGGGCAGAATATAATGTTATCGTATATGAAACACCAACACAGAAATAACATGTTCTGACAAACACCGATCTATATGAGATCTTTTCTATAGAGATGACTGCACTGTAAATATGCATATAAACTCTGAAATATAAATCTTCTTGGCTTGCCCTCTTTCTTATCTGCCAACCTCCTTTACCACATCCTTTTCTTACTAACTTGTATTTTGTAGCCAGAAATTTTCATAAAAAATATTTTTTTATTTATTTACCTACAATAATGTGCATACATTAAAAAAATATTTCCTATTTTAATCTATGTATATGATATTTTAAAAAATTTTAGTACTATTTTTCCATTTTTCAATGAAATTATTTATAATATTAAAAAATTGTGAGTCTGTCGTTTTAGTATTTGCATCACCTGGTCCAGATTCTTGATCCTGAGTGTCATCTAACTTGGATTTTTTCCCAATATTTTCATGTGAAATTTTTGTAAATTCATTATCAACAAATTCTAATAAATAAATTTCATATTTCCTCATGGCAACCATTTTTTTAATTTCCTGTAATTATGACATATTAAACAGAATTTAAATTATATTGTATATTTTAAAAATAAATGAATATTATTAAATTATTTTTTATTAATTTCATTAACAATGTTAATGGAATTAAGAAAATTGCATTAAGTTTCAAAATGAATTAAAACCGCATTTAAATGTAATTTAATTTTTGAATTACTGACTTAAAATTACTGATTATGATTACATTTTAGAATTAAAACTAATTAATCTAAAACTTAATAGATATTTAAATATTTTATACTTCTCTTGGTTGAAAATATTTCTCTGTTATATTTGGTATTGTTTTATAATATCTCAAAGTTTCTAACATATCTACAGATTCCGGATGTAATAAAAGATAACTTGAAACACATTTAACAGCTTTTTCAATTTCTCCAACTTAAATGTATAAGTATAAAATTTTTAAATTATTAAAAAATTAAAATAAATTTTAATAAACTTACTTTGGAAATATGAAAATTGTAAGTAGTCATAAGCGCTTGCAAAAGAATCACCATAAGTTCTACCACCAATTAAATTTAAATCAAATGTACAATTTTGTTTACAGCGTAATACATAAACGTATTGATCTAAAATGGAAAAATTACCAATTTGAAATTGTATGATAATATTAAATATAAATTATGCTCAACTACTTCAAAAATTATTCTAAAATTTGATGATGTCATAAACAGCAACCATAAATACTAATTTTTATTTGTAAAATTTTTCAAAATTTAAGCATAATTTAGTTGAATAAGTTATAAATTGCACTAAAACTCAATTCCTAGCTTATTTATCCTAGGTACATAAAAGTAATTTTCAAATTATTTAAAAAAAAATGTTCTAACTTGCTAAAGCCATATCATAATCTGGTAACCATCCTTGCTGATAATCATCTTCACAAAATGCACGACATTTGTCATATTCTTGTATCCATACTTCAATAAATTTTTCAAAATTATTAATTGTTGCAGTCCAATTTTTTATATTATAATCATCCATTCCTTGTAAATAGAATTTCGTAAATTCCTGCATATTAAAAAAAATCACACAAAATTATTAGATTTCTTTTTGTTCTAGAAAATTCTCAAATAATTAAAATTTGTTACCTTATCTTCTAAATCTTTCATATTTTCATAATTAAAATCTTTTGTACTAGCATAAAATTCAATATTTTTTTTCAGCATAATATCATTTGGGTCTCCAAGTAATGCTGTAAAAGCAGCATCAATAGCTTTGCTCACCTCCTTATCCTGTTAAAATTTTGAACAAGAATTAAATTACAGCATTATATAAAGGGTTATAGATAAAGGGTTCACATACCTTAAAATAGCATATTTGAAGATAATTATAAGGTTTACGTTGCTTAAAAATAATTTTATCTTTATATTCTACAGTAAAAAATTTTGGTATATTTTTTAATTGTTCATTACGGCATTTCTCTAAGCATAATGTTTTATGTAAAATTCCTTCATAAAAATGATAATCACCATAATTTTCTTCAAATGTTGGCTTTAATATTGATCTTTCCATATCACAAGAAACTCGACAATAGGTCAAAGTATTATAATAATCATTATATAGAACAACAGCTCTTTCCAAAGAAGATATACAACCTACCCAATCATTTCCTAAATAAGATGTTACACCATCATGATAATAATCCACAAAAGTTTTTATATCATCTTGATCTTCATCATGATCCTCTATAATTTTATATTCTAATATTATAGTTTCATTTTTTTCAATTTGTTTATCTACTGATTGTCGTTCTTTTTCTTCTAGAATAAAACTATCATTGTTCCATTGATTGTTAATAAGCGTTTTATTATTATTACTCTTTACTTCCGTTTCTTGATTATAATTATCGATTTTTGGATTTGAAAATACCAAAAAAATATGATTAATAATGTACTCATTTTTAGTTGTTATCAATTTATTTTCATTTTTTATTTCATTTAAAGCTGATATTGTTACAATTACTACCGCCAACAATAATAAATTAGAAAAAAATGCATTCATGTGCAAATTCATTTCAATTTATTCTCAATTTTTATGTTTCTTTTTGCAATTAATTAATTTCTCAGTGGCACAAAATGCACATGAAAGTATGTATAATTTAAATTTTTTAGTGATCTGATCACTATATATTTTTTAAAAATAATAAAAGAAAACGTTTAACCAAACATTTAAGTTTTAAACATCTGAGCTGAGCAATACAAACGCAACGCAAACGATTACTGAATGTGAATCTAAAATCAAAAAATATAAAATATAGAGAAAGAAAAAATGTAATAAGAACAAAAGATAATTTCCCCTTCTAAATTCTATATTTTTGTATCACAAAAAAATTATCAATTTTTGAGCAAAAAGTGAATTTTCAAAAGAAAACATTTTATGAACAATGGGAAATTTTATTTGAAAAGTACCTACGTATCAAACACAAGCTAAGCTAACCCTAATGTTTAGTTTATTTTTACTGATCTTTTTCCTGCTCAAATCAAACTAATGAGAGTGAGAATGGAATGACGGATATTTTGTTATCAAAGAGAGTGTAAATTATTTTTTTTCAACGAAAATTTTGATAAAAACTTTTGTATACAATTTAATCGGATAGGAAAAGCTTGTAATATTAAAATATAAGTATGCTGCAATTAAATTTTAAATTGAATTATTTAGATTTTTCAATTAAATTTTTTATTAAATTTGAATTTTGAATTTAATTAAGGCTGAAAATTAATTTATAGCCCAAATCCGCTTAGCAAAAATCATTATTTAACGGCAAAAGGAATGAATGCCACATATTTTTGCAAACAATTATGCGAAATTGAAGAGCGGACATATTACCAATTTCACATATTATGTAGGTACTTATCTTTATTATTCTATTTGCGTTATTTAACTTGCTATTCGACTTGTAGATTATAAATTAATCCTCGAGGCCTTATAGTACCTGTATTCCATTATAATCGCAATTGATCTGACCTATTGTAATAACAATCACCGATCAAACTCAAATTGCTCAAAGAGATTAAAAGATTTTATAAGAAAAAAAAAATAAAATGAGATTTCAACAAGAATAGTAAGTAAGTCTAATTTTAACATTGAAAAAACAATTGGGATCAATTTTATCCAAAATCGACTATTTGCTACAATTATTCCAATAGGTAAATAATAATATTCAATCGTACCAGACATAAACCACATGTGTAAGAATTTTTTTTTTTTTTGTTTTAATCTGTGTTCTTTCTTGTTTATTCTAAACCTAAACAAAACATAATTATGTAGTGATGAAACTTTAAAATTTGATATAAATGTTAATGTTTTGCTTATCTTTACTCTATTTTTAAAATTCCAATTCCGATTCCAAAAGTAATATACGAATGTGTTGGTTGAAACATCTTTCCGTTAGACTTGAAGAATTCATTAAACTGCAAAATACAAACACACATAATGTAGTTAAAATTTATTTTTAAATTAGTAAATATACAAGTATTTAATGTTTAAATATCAGCCCAATGGACAATGGTTCAGTTACTGTTATACATATGATATACATACATGTGTATGTACATATATGAAGTCGCTAAAGTAGGATTTGTTTCATGGGATAGCAAAAAATTAAACCCAAAGTGAAACTAAGTAGCTTATTTTAAAAAATTTAAAGAAATAAGGCGTTTTATAAAAGAAATTTGAGCTAATTTGGAAAAATTTGTTGTCAGGTACATACATGCATTTGTATATTTTTTTTGTTAATTAAATCATTTTTTCCATTTCAGATTAAACATGGTAGAATAAAGGCGAAATAGTAAACCAAATTTGGCTCTATTAAGGCTAGAATACGATATCACGATATCGTACTTATAAAACAAAAAATTTGGTAACAAAAATTTTTATGTATTGGCGCTGACCCTGCTTTATATTTAACTTGGTCTCAAATTGGGTTTCACCAGTAATTTTAAAATTTTTGAGTAATTATGGTAAATTGAAAATATATTATGTGTATATGTATCTCATTAGATGAAAATAATTTTTCTCCTTTTAAGATGTACATACTTATGTATATGAAATGATTTTCTACTTCTATTCCAGCAATACTAACCCGAGTCGAAGAATAATTAAGGAATAACTGCAGATATTTTATCACAATAGATGGCTTCAATACTTAAAGATGATTGTCGTACACCCTAAAAATAAAAATATATAAAAATTTTGTATAAATTTAAAAGATATCCCTGACTCTGACATTCAAAATGCAGTAGTACTCGTAACATCAGAATTGCCATAGTACTGTATAATAATAATACATACATAATTCAGTTTACAAGTCCTAAGTTTTAAATTGGGTTTTAGTTGCTAAAATATCAGATAATATATAGTTGCAATTTTGACATATACCAAAATTATATTATATTTACTTTCTGTGTGCGCCACTACTTTTCTATTCTTAACAATATCTGTAAAAATTGCAGTACTGTGAAAAATACTGAAAACTGTACACATTACAGATTTATTTTCAGTTGTAATTATTGTAATTATATAATAGTAATTGCAACTTCATAAAATCATTATTCGCGTCAATTTTTTTCAAATTAAAACAAAAAAAAACCTTATGAAAAAAAATTTTTTTTTTTAATTATTTGCAACCAGACTACAACGACCGCCATTAAATTAAGCTTATATAATATTTTGAATTTTGAAATTCTTTAAGTTACAAATATTTTTTTTCAAACTCATTTAATAATGAACTTTTTTTTTTATTTAATATTTAGATTATTTTAATTTCCTTTTTTTTTTTTTGAATTAGACTACTCAATTGGTGTTCATTTCTTGGCAATTATACAATAACAATTTTATTACACTCCTTTCATTTGATGCTCGCTCCTCATTCTTCTTTGGTAATCGTTGCATTTATAATAAGCGCTCATGTTTGTATAAGGCATAGGTATTAGACCTGCTATTAAAATAAAAAATTTTCTGGCACTTAAAACTAATTTAATTTTTTAAAAAGGGTATGCATGTACATTCTATTGGTATGTGTCTAATATATGTACATACCACTCTTATCTTATTTATGTAAAATATAACATTGTATAAGAATAAGAATAAAAAACAGGAAAAAAATTTATAATAAAAAGTTCCATGTGATTATAAATTTTGGCACATAGTTGAAATTACCTTTTTTTTTTTTGCTTTTCGAAATAGTGTTATTGTTATTTAAGTTTAAATTTGAGAATATTGTATTCATATACAAATGTACTATGATGTACAGAATGTTTCGATTAGGGTTGCAAAATAATTTCGTAGATCAATTTTTCGTCAATTTCAGAGAAAAATGTTTGTTCCCAATAAATTTGGCATTGTTGCGCTAGCAAAATTTATTTTACAAAAGAGAATAGCGAAAATTCTCGAGAAATTCTCACATGAGTGAACATTTCTTTAAAAACCGGAGTTCAAACTTCATAAATCTGTGAATAATTAACGCGATTTTTGAATTACCAAATCAGAAATAAATCAAGCAATAAATTATACATATAAAGCTCCAGTGACTGATTCTTACTCTGTGTTCAACAGCTCTCAAGTTATTAGCATTTATTTTTAAAAAGGAAACGAGCTGAAACTAGGGGAGGACGGTGAAACACCCTATATTTGTAAAATAAATACAAATTAAACCAAATTTGTTTTTGTAATTTATATAAAATATAAACATTCAGCTTTTTCCTTTTTTTTTTAGGTTTTATTGGTTAACCAAAGTATAAGGAACTGAAGATTTTTTATCTAATTTTAAACTACATACATACATACAATATGGTACATAATGAACATAGTTGTGGTCTTAAAAGGAGCAATTTTTTTTGCTGATTTTATTCATTCCATTATGGTAATCCAACATATATTCCAGAGAAGTGGAAAATCAAAGATACTTTGGATATTAGAAAATTTAACGAATTAAAAAAATTTAAGCCATATAATAATAAGATAGCAATAATATTAATTTTTTTTTCATGTTAAATACAATAAATATATTTAGAAAATATTTAATGAATAAATTTTCATGTTAACTTGCAAAACAAAAATAAAAAAAGGCAAGATAATTAACTCTTTATCTCCTTTGGCAAATATTTTTAGTTTCTGTTACTTTTAATTTTTACACTATTTTTGTTTTTCCCATTTTGAACATAAAATAACCAGAAAAACTGAAACTATTTTTAAATTATTACTATAGGATTAATATTTTATTGCCAATAAAGTACTTTGCCAATTTTATAATTTATATTTCATATTTAAAAAAAAAGAAATTTTCTTAACAAAATTTGAATATTTATTATTGGTAAGAGAATAATAGCACGCCCGTATATTATTAAAGAGCATATACAAAATTAGCATTATTATATTAACCTTTTAATATTTGTTTTTTAGTTATATAAAAATATTAATGAGATAAATTATAATTACAATATTTGTTACCAATTTTCTTGTCATTAATTTTTAAAAAAAAATAATTGCATATTATTACTTATTAGTTTGTGTCTATACAGTATAACTTGGTTAAAACAAACATAACGTTGTTTAAAATGAATATTAAAGATCACGTAATAGAGCAAATTACTCTAGCATCGCAGAATTTAAGTATCTGTGCAAATTTTTGGCATATAATAGAAAAAAATGCAATACTGCAAAACAACAATTGCAAATATCATGTAATTTAACCACGCTACTCATAATTATTTTACTATATTGCTGATTATTTAGCAATGTTTATGGAAAAACTAGATTAGCAACATTTGCCTATGAACAAAAATATATCGTAGCTTTTATTATACAGAGCCAATATATCGCGTATATGCTTACTGTTTCATCTATGAAAAGTACCGCGCTAACCAGGGTAGTGTAGATAAATAAGTACAACTCAAATACTAGCTTAATAACACTTTACTACAATTGTATTAAATTCTACTACATTTTTCTAGTACATTTTAAAAAATTTCAACAAAAAAATCATTTTTGCAAAATTTTTAATTTTACTTCCACTTTTAATTATATTTAACTATGAAACTACAAACAAATTACATTTATTGCCCTAAACGCAATAAGGCACCGCTTCAAAGATACCTTCTGGGTTATAAAATCGTATCGCACAAAATGAAATTGCAACCGCAATTTGCCGCTTCCTATTTAGTTTATTTTCTCCATTTGCAGTTGCTATCTGTCAAATTTAATTTTTTTTTAATTGTATTTTATTGTATGTTGCTGCTACAAACTTGTAATAAAACGTTAAAGTAATAAAAAAAATGTAATAGATTTTTGCACTTACCAAATTATGCAGTTTTGAAGTGCGGTTTCATTGTGTTTAGGACATACATTATATATGGATCTTTTTTTTTTCAAATAAAAATTAAGATATAAAATTTCTGTTTATAATTTACTACATTTTTTAATCAATTATGGTACGCAAATATCAAAATGAAGTGTTAACCCTGCCTTTATATTCATTTTCCAAATCCATATTTGGATCAATTTCCCTTTTATTATTTCATATGCAATCTTGTAAAACGATTCCTAGTAAAATATCACAAAAATAATATGAATTATTAAAATTTATGCTTTAAAATTTTACATATTTCTATAAAATTAAATTTTATATTGATGTATACCTACATACTCCTACAATATACACACATATATAAATATTTTGTAGATCAATTTTTGCAATCAAAATGCAACACTGTTATCACTATTATTATTATTTCAATCTTTTGTATTCGCATAAAGAGATGGAAATCTGTTTAAGCTAAAAAAAAAAAAGTGTGCAATTGCCATTTCAAGAATTCAAATAAAATGAAAATTGTCATGTACGGTAAACAATAAAAAATATCCAAAACAAGTGAATGAACACGAAGTTAAATAAGAATTTGTTTACAATGGTATTAATGTTACCTTATATTTTTTCCGATGTAGTACATATTTTTATTTTCTGTTATACTTTTCTTTAATAAATTATTAAAAAATAATGTTTGTAGAGAAAAATTAAAATTTAAAAATAAAATTTTTCAAGAATTTTATATAAAAAATATAATTTTGAAAAAATAGAATTCAAATATAATATAGAAAAAAATTAAAAAAAAAAAAAGAAAATTATTCTTTTAAATTCGATGACCGCGTAATACAGATTTTGTGTCAAATCAAAATTGTGTTTAAAAGTTCCAATCAATTAGCAACTCATATTTTAGTTATAAATGCAATTTACAATTTAATAATTACATATTTCACTGTGAGATACAATTTGACGTTCACCTAACAATTTTTATAAGCAACTTATGTTGTGAATGTAAATGGACGCGGTAATACGGTATACAATAATCAACACTATCCTATATTGCCATTATTGCCAGTGCGACAAATTGAATTTATACCGCTCGATATAAGTACGATTGGCGTTTGTATAAAACGTGGAAAATAATCCAATTAATTTTTTAATTCCAATATCGAACGCTTGGATTCGTGAATTTCAATTCGATATGAAAACCAGGCGGTGTTCAGTGATGTAAATTTTAAGTATATACATTATAAATAGTGGGGTCAATTTTTTTGTTGCAGAATTGCCGCATACCATTTCAGTTCATCATTAAGTTCGTAATATATAGAAATTTACGAATGAAATCCACAGGACTTTATAAATAGCTACGAGTATATAACTTTTAATTTTAATTCAATTTAAAAACATCAAATATAATAATGCTAAAACCCTACTATATTTGACGCAGCTATCAAATTTAATTTGTAAGTTAAATTATTCAAAATATTTTACACAGGATTTTGTTTTTTTAAATTAAACACATTTACTTTTTCAATGTAAAATTATAACCGTATTAAAAATTACCTGGCTACCAAGGTATTAAAGTCATATACATAGGTGAATCAAAAATTTTATAAATTTGTTTTGTTTTGTTTTTTTTTTTTTTGAAAAATTTCATAAGAAAAAAACTTTATTTCATATTTTTATATGAACGGCTAGGTTATTTTTTTAATTTTTTTTTTTTATAATTTTATCCTTTATGTGTGTACATATAAAGTGAAAAACAAGTCATGTGCGATTTTCACGTGATTTTCATTTTATCACGTGACGTTACGGTTTTAGTTCAATTATTGTTTCAAAGTATGAAAATTTTTTAAATAGTTTTGTATTTAAAAAATAAACAAAAAAAATTACTGAAACAACTGAAAAAAAATTATTTTGTATTCATGTTTTATTTATGTGGTTTGCTACTTTTATTTTTGATAAATTTTTTGATAGAAAAAATTTACTTACTAATTTCTTCTCACCTATCTGTTCAATTTTCATTCTGTTGAAAAAGAAAAATAAATATGTATGTAGAAAAGTCAGGTTTATGGCTGAAGCTAATGGAACCAATTTTTTTGAGAAATCCTTAAATTACATAGAATTTTTGAAAATATCAGCTTATTTATTGTATTATACACAATTGGTTTTGAAATATGATCGCAATAATTTAACCCTGATGCCAAGTTCATTTCTTTTTTGTGAGTTCCAATTAAAATTCAATTTCTTAAACTCTTACTTTTGTATAAAAATTTCACAAAATAAATTTTTTATATTTTCGATTTTGATCTTCACTTCGACTATTCGAATGACAATCAATTTAAAACCATGACAAATTCGGGCAGTGCCTTCACGGTTGCGTTAGATTGTGGAAACCTTAATATTAAAGGCAATAGAGAAGAAAAATAACTATTATTATTTTTTAAAAATAATGTATTTACTATTAATTAAGTAATTATACATTAGTAATAATTAGTAATAAAATGCACACAAGAATCTGGAAATGCACAAATTTTTAACTAAAATATCTTCGGCATTAAAAAAAAATTAAGAAAGTATAAAAGAAAAGCTTTATTAAACTATATGATTCTTGTAATGTTATTGAATAATTTATACCGTTATTATCATTTTACCGTTGTGAATATTTTAGGCTGTACTTTTTTTTGTCTTCTGTACTTTTATATTTACTTACTTTGTACAACTCTTGAGATGTTCACTTTATTTCCACACACTTTCTCTGAGCAGCTCATTTGAACATAATTACATAGCACACCTCATAGTACTTTTTCCACATATTGCAAAGGATATAGATATCTGGTTATCAATATTTTCGTATTTGCTATAATACTGAGTAATAACAATGTACAATGATGTAGTTATTATAGTTTTAGTAATGTACTATTAGTTGCTATCAATTTCAAATGAACAAAAATATCAATAATTATTAAACCTACGGTATTTAATTGTGGGAAAAATTTTGTGCAATAATTGTGTATATCGTATATTTATATATTCATGTTCGTACCTAAATGTATAAAAATAAAAGGTACTAACGTGAGCACTGTGGTGCCTGAAAAAAACTAGCCTGATTCTTTTTTATACACACAATTAACCAATTACTTACTATAAATAAATTTTTTCGTATTTTCAGTATTACGTCCCTTGAAAATTTTTTTTTATTCAAGGTATCATGGGAAATCAAATCAAAAATTATCATCATTAATAACGAAAATTTTAAATACATTAACATTTTCCATGTTAACTATTTTTATTTATTCGTTCTGACTTAGAATTTCATATATGTGAGTTATAAAATAAATTTAAAATATAATACATGTTTATAAATATATAGCTGGCTACATAAGTCTGACTTTTTAATATTGAATTAGGGTACCCAATTCCCAAATACCATACAATACATATAAATTGCCATTATTAAAGAAAACTGCTAACACAAAGGTGACATTCGCAGGCGAAATTAAAGGACTCGCAAATTTATGGAAATTCAAAAAAGGATGGCAAATAATTGAAATAAAAATATGTATGTAATTACAAATTAAATTGATATATTTAAATAAATAAATGATTTAGATGTAAAAACCGAAAATATACAAATACTTATTTTAACTTATTAATAATTACTTATTTTGTCACCCCTAGCAGACTAACGTCAAAATCATCTGAAATGAATTCGCTAAAAACATGAATTGCATGTGTTTTCTGTTTATTGTTTATTTACTTGTAGAAAACGAAATTGTTATGAATCACAGTTGTCCTGCAAAATTTAGAATAAAAACTATTACGAAAAATAATTGGAATTTCTATAAAACTTTAACTGCATTTACAAATTTAATACACTAATTAAGGAATGGCTGAAAGTAAATTGGATATAATTTTAGAATTCAGGTAAGAATAAAATTGTATTAAAGAATATGATACTGGAAACTAAAATATTTGGTTTCATACTTTAAAATTGGTTTATTTTGCTATTTTGGAATTATTTTTAGAATTTATAATGAGTTTTTATTTTAAGGACTGTTTAATACATACTAATTGGTTAAACATTTTTGAAAGTTTTAAAAATTTACTAAATGTAAATTGGTTTTTCCCTTAGTTTAATTTTATTATTAGCTTTTAAGTTAACCAATTGCCTGCCAAAGATACATAAGTGGTTAACTCACCATTTATCATATTTAACAACATTTTTATAAAAATTATACTCTAATTATTTTCTTTGTACAATAATTTTTTTCGTTTTGTAGCGGAGGAGCAGAAACTTTGTTCGAAGGAATTAAAAAAAGAACTGTGTCTTTAAATGGTAATAAGAAATGTAAGTATTTTTTTAAGTATTAATAGCTGTGTATATTTCAAAGCACATTTTTGATTTTTGTATGTATAAAGGGACAGTAAAGGAGTTTCTAGTTTATTTAAAAAATGAATTACTAAAAGGAAATGAAGAATTATTTATTCAAGCAGATTCAGTGTAAATTCAGTTTCTTTAATTATTTAATTAATTTCTTCTAATTAGAATTTCTTTTTAGTCGACCCGGAATATTGATACTAATTAATGATACTGATTGGGAATTAATGGTACATATATTTTACATTTTAATATATAAATCAAGCTTATTAAAATGTTTCAAATCAATAAAAATATTTAAAACTTCTAAAATATTTTAGGGTGAACTAGACTATGAATTACAACATAAAGACAACATTTTGTTCATTTCAACTCTTCACGGTGGTTAAATAATACCCAGTTACCTACCTTAAAATAAGCTACTGTACTTTTATAAATTAAATAAAAAAATATCTATAAATTAATTTTTTTTTTATTTTATTATGAAGCTGAACTAACACTAACTCCTTCTTCGGTTAAGGTATTATCTTCGTAAGTTTCCAATACGTCTGCCAAATGTTCGTTATCTCTTGGTTTTTTGAATTGTCTTTTCTTGTTAGAAGGTTTCTTTCTTTTCGGTACTAAAGGTTTCTTAGGACCATGATCTTGCATAGATCTAATACCTTGTTTTTCTAAATATTCATCAATCTTTGCATCATCCATTGCATCAACAGCTACCGATCTCCATTGTTTTGTAAATTCTTCATCAATCTATAAATTAGTCAGAGAGCACGCTTTAAATTAAATAGAATGCAATTTTTTATTTTTAAGAAGTATTCACCTGAAAATTGGCCGTTCTGTCATTATAAAATAAAATTTTTTTCTTATCAATTGGTCTAATAATGTATATTATTTCTGATGCTCTATTTTTAAGAACTTTTTCTGCATGTGGCAGTGATTCTATAACATCGTCCATTAATATACCTCCAAGTCCTTTTAAATCATGTTGTTTCAAAAGTCGCAGCAAATTTTTACCATCTTTAATTTTATATACGGGTTTGAATGAAAATTTATTATCTGGATGTACTTCAATTTTGGGATTATTAACTAAAGCTTCTGCAGCCAACCACTAGAAATTTAGTTAATATAAGTTTGATGCTTATAAATTTATAGTAAAAAAAAAACAAAACTTTACATTTTTTACTCCTGAGCCTATATCGAGTTGATTTGTTTCGTCTAAAATTTCTTCTAAACCCAATGGATGATCATCTCCTTCTTGATGCCGCGTTTTCATGTGCTTCACTATTTTCGCCAAAACTCCAAATCTATATTGTGAACTTCCAGCCATTGTTTTATATCTAGAAAAAATGTAGTGTAAATACCACCCTAAGCCACATAGGCAGTTAATTACGTGCTAGAATCCAATTTGGGTCCTGATGGACGAAAAAGTTTTCTCTTAGAAAGATCATCAGTTTTTGGTGGAGGCATTTCAACTTTGGGTTTCTTTTCAATTCTAAAATAAAATTATTGTAAATTTTTGGAAAAATGGAAATGTTATTTCATACGTAGGAGTGGCCATAGCCCTCTTTTTGAAAATTTCCCTCTCGCGTAATAGTGCTGGATCCATGGTTAATATTTAATTTGTTTCTTACACTTTCTTTTTAATATTCAAATTTAAATCAACTAATTAAGTAATTGTTATTTTTTTAGCTATTATTATAAAATAAACAGCACAACTAAATTCCTTTCCTAGCGAAATGTCAATCATCTATTCTGTTGATTTTTAATTTTTGATGTTTTAGAAATGTCAATTTAATCAGTAGTGTTAAATTAGTAAAGTCTTAAACCACCTTTGCCTGCAACATCTACTGAGTAAAAATGGAAAATATAAATTTTTCAATGAATTATGAAGAACCTGTTCTAACCGCAATATTTTTTTAGAAATGCTATTAATCCTCCAATAGATAATTACAATCAGGTTGGAATTGAATTTTTTTTAAATTACACCGAAGTAAGAATTCGAAAATAAGTCCGGAATCAATCCGAATATGTTGATACACCATATCGAAATCATATCAATTGCAAAATAATATCGACGTCAAATATTTTTTCGATTTTAATGTTGCAACCCCGTTATAATGACATTTTTAAAGAAGTGTCAAATCGAAAGTCGGAACGGAATAAACAAAAATCAAAAATTTTAAAAAGGTGTGCTGTGAATTAAAAATTGAACATCTGAATATATTGGAACAATTATTTATATATATATCTTGATAAAACTTATTTCAATTAACTGAAAATATGACGACAATGGAAGAAATTAAGGATGATGAAATGCCTTCAAATGTTTTAGAAAATTTTAGTGAATTAGAAGAAGTTTTGGGTATGATCGATGATCTCAAAGAATGTTATTGTAAAAATTTTGAAAAAACTTACGAAAAATTTGTGGAGATATTATCTAGGTATTTAAAATAAATTAAGGAGTTTTTCCTTTAATATGAACTAATTTGAAATTTCAGATATCAAGAACAACCTCATTTGTTAGATCCCCATTTACCAACATTACTAAATAAATTGCTTACAATAATTAAGGACAAAGACAGTCCAACATTACTTGTCCATGGGAGTTTTAAATATATGTATACAATATCAAAAGTAAGAACATATAAAGCCCTGGTCAAATTTCTGCCTCATGAATTAAGTGATTTGGAATTTGCTCTTGATCTATTAGAAAAACAAGATTTAAAAGATTCAGCAAATTGGGAGACAAGATATGTATTATTGTTATGGATGTCAATTCTTGTATTAAATCCCTTTCACATGTCTAGGCTCGATGCCTATGTTGATCGTGCTGATGGAATAAATCATTCAGCACAAACTACTAAAATGGAAAGAATTTTTAATTTATGCCTTAAAAATATTGAAAATAATGATACTTGCTCTAGCATTGCTGCATTCTTATGCGGAAAGTATATTATTCGTGTTGATGTAAAAGAATTGTATATGAAAAAATTTTTTGAACACGTCATGCGTGAAAATAATGCTGAAACAGAAACAGCGAAGTATGGGCAACTAGCTGCAGTTGCCTCGATTTTAAAAAATGGTAAACGCGATGATCTACTGGAATATATTGATATGTTATTAAAATGGATACTGTCTTGTAATTACAAAAATGATTCAGCATTTTTGAAATATAAACATTACATAAAAATAATTCAAAGAATTGGATTAGTATACTTAAAACCTAGAGTCGCGTCGTGGAGATATAAACGTGGCGTACGCAGTTTAGCAATCACGCTGCGAAATTCGAATGAAAATGAAAAATTTTCTCTCCAGGATAGTAATAAACATAACGATGATGAAGAAGATATAGTTGTACCAGATGGTATAGAAGACGTTATTGAAGAACTTCTAGGAGGCTTAAGAAGTGCCAGTAGCGACATAAGGTAATTTTTTAATACAGTGTTGCATGTATTAGAGTAAATTAATAATGCAAAAATATAAGAATTTTTTAATAATTAAAATTTGTTTAAGATGGAGTGCTGCGAAAGGAATTGGCAGAGTAACAAACAGGCTCTCAAAATGCTTAGGCGATGAAGTCGTTGGTTCAGTAATTGACATTTTAGACCCATTTGAGTCTAATGAAGGGTGGCATGGAGCCTGCCTTGCTATTGCTGAACTCTCGAAACGTGGCCTTCTTTTGCCATATCGATTAAAAACAATGGTACCATTACTATTGCAAGCGCTTTTTTATGACGAAATTAAAGGTTATATGTCAGTAGGACAGCATATTCGAGATGCCGCATGTTATATGTGCTGGGCTTTTGCCAGAGCTTATGATCCGGAAGATCTGCAACCATTTGTAAAGCAAATTGCAGCTGGATTGCTTGCTGTTGCCGTTTTTGACAGAGAAATTAATTGTAGAAGAGCTGCATCAGCTGCTTTTCAAGAAAGTGTTGGTCGTCTTGGCAATTTTCCTCATGGTATTGACATATTAACGGTAGCTGACTTTTATTCTGTTGGAATGCGATCTAATTGCTTCTTGAAAATTAGTTGCTATATAGCGCAATTTGAAGAATACAAAAAACCTTTAATTGATCATTTAATTGAACGGAAAATATGTCATTGGGATGCTGTTGTCAGAGATTTAACGGCTAAAGCCTTACACAAATTAACTTGGAGTGCTCCAGAATATATCGCAAACGAAATTTTACCAAAATTGTTTGCCAAAACTACATCCGTAGATGTTACTGTAAGGCATGGATCTGTTTTAGCAATAGGAGAAATCACACTGGCTTTGAAGCTAATCGAGGACGAAAATAAAGGGAAATCGCTCTCACGACTCCTAAGTAATCAGGTGGTAAATGACCTTAATGAAATTATCTCAAGATTTCTGGAAAAGGATTCATTTAGGGGTATTTAAAAACTTTTTATTGCTTGTAATTATTGTAAAATAATTTCCATTTTAGGTGTGAGTGGCGAAATTATGAAAGAATGTTGTACAAGTTTTATTAATAATTGTAGTAAAGCAAAAATTGAAGTGAACAGTAATTGTATAGGTAAAAGATAAATTTTGATAATTTTTCTAATGTTTATTATATGTATGTCTTATAGCGTCGTGGCAAGAAGTTGTTGATAAATCTTTAATCAATAAGAATTCGCAAATTAGAGAAAATGCTTCTTTAGCTCTTAACGAACTGTGTAAGACTTATTATAGCAAATCTGAAGAGACTAATATTATTCCAATTGTGGAGTTTTATATAAAGAGGTCTGAAAACGATTTAGAAGAAGAAATACGAATGGGATATATAAGTGCATTAGGTGCTCTGCCTAAATTCATGATAACAATGAAACTGAATGAAATCGTCAATAGTTTAATAAAACATTCCCTTCCACCAAAAAGTTCGATTCCGACCAGTGCAGTAAGTGAACAAAATGTAAAAATGGCATTAGAAAACCCGATAACATATAATTGGTCTGAAGCTCGACGGGAAAGCATCAAAGCACTAGCTAATGTTGTCCAAACTGTCGGTTTTGAAAACGACACTGAGTTTTCGATGGCAAACCCAAAATTATTTTCCAAAATTTCTGAGTGTTATTTAAAAGCACTAGAAGAATATACGCTTGATAATCGAGGTGACATTGGTGCTTGGGTGCGAGAAGCTGCAATGACTGCATTATTTCAGTTAATAACAACTTGTCCTCGTGAACTTCTCACACCTAGTTTTATTCATCAAGTAATGACAGAATTAGCACAACAGGCCGTAGAAAAAATTGATAGAACTCGGGGTTTGGCTGGAAGGCTTTTTTACAGTTTAGTTTTTTATGAGCCTAAACTTCCTTATATAATGTACCATCAGGAATTGAGACTGATTTTTCCAGAAGATAATACAAAAATTCTGTGGTTATTTGCAGACCATACTTTTCCGTATTTTTGTTCAATGCTAAAGTTTGCTGAATATTCTCCTAAAATAATTTTGGGTTTAACTGCAAGTATTGGACAGCTAACAGAAAGTTTGGTAACAATTATTTCTTAAAATTATTATTTTTCATTTATAATTTAAAAAATTTTTATTTTATTTCATAGGTAAAATACTCTTCAACTTCGTTTTTTGATTTTCTTCGTGCGAATCCAGAAACTATACCAAGAATTTGTAATGAAATAATTAAAGTATTTGAGCAAAATTCAATGAATGAAAGAGTTACTTATCCAATTTTGAACTTTTTAGATATATTATTAAGCTCAGGTAATTTTTTATTTTATCATAGAAATAGCAATAATTTTCTATATTATGCTTTAAATTTAGGTGTCATTGAAGAAATATTAATTGATGAAAATTCAAATTTTGCAAATGAAATTTATCGTTTAGTTAGTATTGAAATAAAGGGTCACAAAAAACTTTATAAACTAGCTTCAAGTATTAATGTTTTCTCGCAATTAATTCAAGTGCCTCAATTAATGAATAAAATTTTTTCCAAAATGGCAATATTTTTGGGTTTAACACACGTGCATATTAGAAAGACAACTGCTACAAAACTTTATGAAGCACTTGCATTATATGGTGAAAATTGTAATATTGATGAAACAAAATTAGAAAAAATACTCGAATTACTTTCTGAAACTGATTGGGGAATGTCATTAAATGACGTAAGACCTATACGAAATGAAATTTGCATGCTTTTAGGAATTAAACCACCTGTAAGTGCAGGAGCAACAAGCATAAAATAAAATTTATAGCTTAGTATACGAATATGATATTTTTTTCGAAATTGTGATTTTATTTTTCCAGTTTTTTTTTTTTTTATTAATAATGTCTCAAAAAATATGTATTGCAAGCTTTAAAAGTAATATTGCACATAATTTCTTCATTTTTTTTTTTTTACATTTAATAATTGTAATGTATTAAAGCATAATTTGATACATGTAGAAATTTTATTTGTTTCTTATAACAAAAAACTAAAAAGATTAATTAAAAAAAAAATAAAAATTTTAGAGGAGATAAAAATGCAATATTTATTTAACAAATAAAAAAATACAAAATTAAAATTTTCATAAATTATATTTTTTAATTAGTCATTATTATTTTAATTAATAAACATATTTGAAAAATGTTAGAAATTATAAAACTTAATCAATGTAAAAGTATCTAGCTCTCATAACAAAAAGATTTAGATTGCAAATAAGTATCTAGTTCCGCAAAGCATTTGTATTAATTTTTTTTAAAATAGATTCTCTTAATTAAATAAATAATAATTGTGTATTAAAATTAATTTTGCAAAATATTTAAATAAACATCATACCAATCTTTTGGGTTTTTTTTATATGTTATTATTTTATTATATTTTTATTTAATTTGGGATAAAAATCAATTATTTTGGAGGAGATTATTAAAGTTTTCGTTCACGTTAATCGAAAATTTAATCAATTCCATCTGGAACTTTGCAGAACTGTGTTTTTTCCGATTTTGACAAATCTTTATGAAATTTGGTACGAGATATGGTAAAGCGTTATACTCAAATTTAAACTTAATTGTTCAATAAAGGGATAAATTTTATGAACGATTTTTTTCTTATTAATAGATTATTTAATTAATAGATTATTTAAAATTTTCAGGGATTCTGTCAATTTTGTTAATTTGTAAACATGAAATCTCTCTATGAATATGTAGTGCATATTTAAACAGAAACTCCTACATAGCTCCAATTCTAAAATTTCTTACAATATGTACAATTGTGAAAGTTGTCAAATTATTTTTGTAAAAAATAGAGTACCCGGAGTCATAACGCATGCCTAATTTAATATATTATATACATACGTATGTTTCAATGTATATTTATTTACATGTACATAATTACTTGCCTATTTGTTGATACTCTGATACATCTGATGTACTTCATACAAAAAGAAAAATATTCAATTAAATTCCGAATATTTACAGTACAGAAGATTCAAGTTATTCGTGATCTTAATATAATTTTTCGTTTATATTACGTCCAATAATATTATTTTTTTAATAATAATTAATTTCCAAATAGAAAAACAATAAATAATAAAATGGAATTTTAAATAAACACATGTATTCCTTGAAAAGTGCTGTTATAAATAATAATATCATCTGCTACTAAAAATAAATATGAAATAAGTAAATAAGTGCAAGTACCTATCTATTTCAAAATATTATTACTTAAAATGGGTTTACAAAGATTAGGAGATATTGTAAGCTTAAATTGTTTTATGTTAATAATAGTAATAGCTGTGATAACCGTAAACATAATTGTGATACATTACGTTGATTTACATAATCCAGATTATGAATTGTAAATATTTATACATAAATTTAAAAAAAAATCTATAAATTTTGTATAAAAATTTTTAATTTTAATATTTACAGTCTTGTTTGGGGATATCAATGCAAAGAAAATAAATGTGTTAAAATTGAATTGGATGAAAGTAATTATGATAAAGCTATAAGTAATTCAGTTTGTAAATTATTTTGTGGAGAAGATATTGGTACATTATGGCCAAAACCTTCAGGTCCAATAAAACTTGGTACATACATGGCCCATATAAATATAAAAAAAGTAATTTTCGATTATCCAAGAATTGCAGAACATTTAGAAATGTGGTATGAAAGTAAGAATCGTCTAATGGAGCAAATATATGCTCAGATACCTGATATGGAATTTTTAAAAGATGAAGGAAGATTATTAAATATAAAATTATGTGTTCAAAATAATTCAATTCAATTGACATGGAATACTGATGAAAGTTATTCTTTAAATATAACAATTGGAAATAACGAAGTTTTTGCAGAAATAAATGCTAAAACATATTTTGGTGCTAGACATGGATTAGAAACTTTATCTCAATTAATTGTTTATGATAATATTCGTAATGAAATTCAAATTGTTGCAGAAGCTGAAATTAACGATAAACCAGCATATCAACACAGAGGTTTGATGTTAGATACTTCCAGAAATTATTTTTCAATTGATTCTATAAAAAAAACCATTGGTAATTTAAAATTCAAAACATATTTGTAGGTCAAATTTAATATTATTATTGTTTTTATTTATATATTTATTTATAGATGGTATGGCTATGACAAAATTAAATACATTTCACTGGCATATAATTGATTCACAAAGTTTTCCACTTGTAATAAAATCAAGACCAGATTTTTATAGATATGGTGCATATTCTTCACATCAAATATATACTCCAGAGAATATAAAAGATATTATAGAATTTGCACGAATCCGTGGAATTCGAGTCATTCCAGAATTTGATGCTCCTGCTCATGTTGGAGAAGGATGGCAAAAGACAAATATGACCGTATGTTTTGGAATTCAACCATGGGACAAATATTGTGTGGAGCCACCATGCGGGCAATTGAACCCGACCGTCGACAAACTTTATGATGTTCTTCAAGACATTTATCATGAAATGCTATATTTGTTTGAAAATCCTGATGTATTCCATATGGGGGGAGATGAGGTATCAAATGCTTGTTGGAATTCAAGCGAACAAATTCAACTTTGGATGCAACAACGTCACTGGGAATTAAATAATGAAGGTTTTCTTAAATTATGGGCATATTTTCAAAATAATGCTTTGGAACGTTTAGATAAAGTATCTAATAATAAATTACCAATCATTGTATGGACAAGTGGTTTAACTGAAAAGGAAAATGTTGAAAAGTATTTAGATAAGACTAGATATATAATACAAGCGTGGACTTCTGGAAATGATTCAAGAGTTAAAAATCTCTTGCAACTTGGATACAGATTGATTTTAAGTAATTATGACGCCTTATACTTTGATTGCGGTGGTGCTGCTTGGGTAAATGACGGAAACAATTGGTGTTCACCATATATTGGTTGGCAAAAAGTTTACGAGAATCGTCCTAAAAAAATAGCTGGAGAATATTTAAATCAAATCTTGGGTTGTGAAGCTACAGTTTGGTCAGAGCAAGTTGATGATACAACAATCGATGCAAGATTTTGGCCAAGGGCTAGTGCTCTTGCTGAACGTTTATGGAGTGATCCAGACGAAAGTTGGAAAAAAGCTGAATCACGTTTTTTATTAAATAGGAAACGTTTAGTTGAAAACGGAATAAAAGCGGAGACGGTTCAACCAGAATGGTGCTTACTAAATGAAGACGAATGTCCAATTATGAAAAACTAAATAAAAAATGTTTTATATGTTGGAAAACAAATTTAAAGTTAGACAAAATTGATACTTCTATGGTTTTTATTCGATATATTTGAAGATCTGAGAATGTATGAGTTACTGAAATTAAAAAGCTTTTAGATAGTATTCATTAATAAGTACGAATCCTAGCTTAATTATTTATGAATTTATTTTCTAAAAGTAACTTATTCTACTTTCATATATAAATTTATAAAATCATAACATATTACAGTGGTTTTTCCAGTTTTTCACATCATGTTAGTTGTTTTCATAAAACTAGACAAAAAAAAAAATTTATTTTTGATTTTAATCTGCAATAAAAATTGAAAGTTGTAAAATGTAAACAATTAATGTTTGGTAAAAATTACATTTGATATCTGAAGAACATAATTATGAATAAATACAATATGTGAATGATAAAGTTAGCCCTACGTTATATTTATCTTTTCTATAACGCTTAATAATCTTCTTCATCCCGACCAAATTTATAAATTAAAGTCGCAACTAAAATAAGAACATTTTGCAATAATATTGCAACACCTGGCCAGACTTTTCCATGTTCTAAAAGAAATCGAAATTATATATGAATATGCCTAATTTAAATATGCATTTTTTTTATTGATTCATAAAATAAACATCAACTTACTGCGTGTTGTATCATCAATCATTACCCAAACACTTGCAATAACGGAAGCAAAACCTAAAAGTAAAACATTCGAAATAAAACAAAGTAAACAAAATTAAATTCAATATATTAATATATTTACCTAAAATAAACCCAACTAAGAGCCATAACATTGCCATACGACCTCTTGATACTGATGAATTCTGATTTATGTGACTTTTACGAACTGAATTGACCATAATAAAACTTAAAGTACCAAAAACTCCAATAAAAGCCTGGCCTGTGTTTATTTCACTTTTTGGGGTGCTTGCGAGAACATCGATTAATAGCCACCATCCCGTAAAAAACTGAAATGAATATTAATAAAATTTTCTGTAACATTGGAAAAAATTTTTAAACTATCTAGGTAGCTAATTAAGTATTTAAAATATTAGTATCTCTTTAACAAAATCCAATATTTGTACTACAATTAAATACACATATTGTGTTAATATTTTTAGGTCTCCGGTCACTTTGGATTATTGTGTTCCTGTTAATTAAACAAAGGCTTTAAAGGTTTCATAAACAAATTACATATAAACGTTCATCTTCCTTTTTAGTGTAATAAAAGCAAAAGTTTAAATAAAAATATTCTTTTCTTAGAAATATGACTAGAGATCTTCATTTGTTTTTATTTTTATTAGATAAAATTTTGATCATTTGCTATAAAAATAAAGGTAAATGACTCATTAATTTTTCCTAACATACCAGCAATCCAGCCACAATCGATGAAATTTTATTTTTTGCGTTTTCTCCAGTTATCCATTCTTTCGTGTTGTCTATTATTGACATGTTAATTTTTCTTTATTATTAATTTGTATCAAAATTTGATTTAAAATTTGGAATCAAAAAAAAAAATTATTTATATGTAAAAAAAACTTTTTAATGAAAATATTTTCGTTTTCGTTAAGAATTTTACTGATGATGAGAAAGTAATCGTGATAATTAATATCCAATAAATTGATATTTTTGATATATCGATTCATTCTTTAAAAGTATCGATTAAATGTTAGATCTCATTTTGTTAAGTGAACTATCTATGTATAACGTTTTTTATGTACATATTGTAAATTTTTAATTTTCATTTAATATTTTTCAAAACTTTTTAATTTTTATTTAAATATCTATATCTGTACATATGTATATTATGGCTTAAGCTAGATTGTCTGCTTCATTATCATTTTTTTAAAAATTGATATTCTATAAATTTGCAGATCATAATTCTTTATTAAAATTTTAAAGTAGTGAATAGTGAATGTAACTTAAAAGGTTATATGATATTCGCGATAGTTAATCAAGCGATAGTGACAACAAAACACGGCTTCCAAAGGCATCAATAATCTGTATCAATAATCGAATACGCATACAAATGCGTATAAAATCATTGATGCTTGAAAAATTCGCACACATAATATTTATTCTAAAAATCGAAACGATTTTGATAATTACCCTTAATATGCATGCGATTTATGTAACCGTGTGATTATCGATAAAATATTCGTACAAACATTTATTGAACTGAAACAAGTAAGGACTGAAGGCTTCCAATATAACAAGAGTTGTTATTTTAATTACCGGAGCAAATATATAAAAATATTTTTGCAACAGCAAACAATCAAAATAATCATCTTGTGTTTAGGAATTGATGTGTGGTCGCTTAGAGGTATACAAAAACTACATAATATTACATAATCATCAAATTATAATATAAGTGGCATTTTTATTTAATTGATTTTTAATTTTAATGATTGTCGTAAAATATGTCAAATATTTATGTAACAGTCGCCGTGTAAACACAGCCATTAATGTAAATCGATGACCTTTATACGATAAAATTTAAATTTTTGATAATAAAAGTAGTTTATAAATTTTTTTTTTGAGTAGAGCTGCAACAACTGCAAAATTAAGAAAAGAACGACAGTAACTTAAACACGACAACACTAAATAGAAATAAAAATCTATTACAGATTTACTTTTATCTCTATTCTGTTACGTTGACTTTGATTAATCAAATTGAAAGTGAAAAAATTGGAAGTGTGATAGGTTGGAAAAAGGTCGGCCATTTTTTCAATTTGCAATACTGCGATTGAAAATTTAGTTTTTTTACTTCAGAAACACAAAAATTCCTTCGGTATTTTTTTTCGATTTAATTTTAAAGTTTCCTAAAAGCTTTGCGGGACCATAAACCTCGCAAAACAACTATAAAGGTTCAATAATAAAAATTCAAAGTTTCTACGCAATTGCTGATTTGGAAATTTCAATAAAAAGGATATTTTTATTTTATATTTCTGAAGTAGTAATCATGGCCCAATAAAATGTCTCTATTACAAGTATCTAAATATAAAACTCCAGTATTTGGGGGGATAATCCACCAAAAATATCAATATAAAAATTCTAATAGTTTTAAGACAAGTCAATATGGACAAAAAGCAAAATTCTTATACACGTCAAGGCTCGAACAAGCTCTTGATTACTGAGTCCAGGAAGTCAGGTAAATTTTTAGAGTATTAATATAAATAATATACATAAATTATTATTATTGTTTAAAAGATATCAGCCAAAGTAAACCCTTGCCAAGAGGCGGTAGACGTAGAGAGAGCTCAAATAATAGTAATATATTCAAGAACGATCAACGAATCAATAAACACAACAACAACAACAATAATAAATTTCGATCTAATGTTGACAAGAGGCCTAAGCCTCGAACATTTGGTAATAATCATGGAAATTCGAATAATGCATTGGCAGAATCTTTTAGCGGCTCCGGATTAGGTGAAGATTTTAAGGAAACCATAGAGGATGGTGAAGATGATGAAAATAAAAATGGAAATTTTCGTGATGATAGTGTTGCGGAAATGAATTCAATTTATTTATCTGGAAGTAAAAAGCAAAATTTAAATCATTTGCTCAATTTTCACTATGTACCCTATGATGGTAATAATAGTGGAAATGGACTAAATGTTTTTGGGCGGTGTAGTTCTAACAAGGCATTTATTAAGCGACAAAGATATAATAAAGAGCAGTATTTACAAGCCAAGTAAGTATATACTTATATATTTATTTATTTATATATATAATAGATGAAAAACTATCGATTTCTATTATCCGTTTTGCAACATAACTTTCAATTCTTAATATAAAATTATATAGTCTTCATTTGTAAAAATTTAGCTGTACTCAGAATAGCTTTTATCGGATTTTTGATAGTATTATTTAATTGAATTTTAATTGAATGTCTTAACAGTCTATTTTAAGTTAATTTTCATGATTCTAATTATTCCAATTCTACAGCTTTCAGTTTTTGGTAAAAAAATCAGCTGAACCATTTATTGACGTCTCTAATCCAGATACATTAATTGGTTGGGAGTTTATAGAGCAAATTAATATTCAAACAACGGAGGAACCGCAATGTCCAATTTGTTTATATCCTCCTATTGGTAAAAACAAGTTTATTTTATTTAATTGCATATAACATTCAAATATTTATTTTAGCTGCAAAATTAACTCGCTGCGGACATGTTTATTGTTGGCCTTGTATTCTTCATTATTTGGCATTGAGTGATAAAACATGGCGCAAGTGCCCTATATGCTATGAAGCAATTCATGTTCAAGATTTAAAGAGCACTTTAATTACTCAGCAACAGAATTTTAAAATAAATGATTCCATTACATTTCAATTGATGCGTCGAAAAAAAGGATCAATATTCGCTGAAAAATGTCCAGAAAATGAAAATGAAGCGTTTATTGAAAATATACCTTACATAAATGAAAATAAAAAACCAAATTTCTTTTCTAAACTTTTGATTGTCAATGTAGGTGATATTCTTTCCATTGTGGAAAGAGAATTTAAGGAGTTGCAAAAGGAAAATGTAGTAGATTGCCCAGAAGCATTATTCGTTCAACAAGCCTTAGATTTGCTTAAAGAAAGAAAAAGTGCAATTGCCCAGGAACAAGGGTTAAGTATTGAATATTTGGATAAGTTAACGGAATCAACAACTGAGAAAGTTCTAACAATAAATGAAGATAATATAAATCAATTGGCATCGCAATTGGAAGTTATGAATGTGGAAGTGGAGAAAAAAGATGTGTGTGAAGAGCAGGAACAGGTTATGGAGATAAAAGAAATTGAAAGTGAAAATGGGACAACAGCTGATCTTGGAGCTATTAAAAAGGAAAAGTTTTATTATTTTTACCAATCCACTGATGGACAAAATGTATTTTTACACCCTTTAAATGTTAAAATGCTGCAATCAATGTATGGCACACTTAATAAAGGTCCGAAAATAATTGAATCAAGAATTTTGCAAAAAGATTTTTATTCAATGGATGAAGATCTACGAAAGAAATTTACATGTTTAGGACATTTGCCATTAACATGCCAATTTGAAGTAATTGAGATAAATTTGGAACCTCCTATAGTTTCTGATCATGTATTGAACATTTTCAAGGGTAAAAGCTTTCTCTAAAAGTTATAGAGGACATTGTGTTTCACTTTACAAATATAATTTTAGGTGATATAGCATCTCGGCAAAAAGTCAGAAATCGACGTGATCGTGAAGAAAAAAAACGTGAGAGGCGAATAAATGAATTCAATGACCGTCAAATGGGAAAATTATTATCAAGATCAGCAAATATTGACATTGAAAGTGTTCAACAGTTTCCAACGGTAAAGTATAATATAAATTTATTTCTGAAATATTTATACTAAATTTTTTTTATATTAAAACCTAGTGTGGATTTGAAGAACCTTTAAGTCCAAATTCATATGAAGAAGCAACAATAAGAGCATACGATGCTGATTTGGCAGATTCACCACCGCCTCCATCGACATTATCAAATGTAATCAGAATTAAACCATCAACATCTTTTGCTACAATATTATTGTCACCTAAGAAGGAAGTTTGGCCAAGTTTGAGCAAGAGTAATACTATGCAAAATGAAACTGTATGGGGGGTTAGAAAAGATTCTATTCAAATAAATTCTCCTAATACAAATCGAGATATAAGAACATCTGAAAGCGATATTGGAGAGATATTTGTTCCCAGCAACAATTCTCTAAGTGATGTTTTGGCAGAAGCTCTTGAAATCAAGAAGAAACAAAATATTTCTGACAGTGTCACTGGGAAAAAATGCAAAAAAAGCAAAAAGACATTGCTTTTTTCTACAGGAATGAGTTTTAGCGGAAATTAAATAACAACCAAATGTTGGGAAAATTTTTTTTTAATGTATATATATATATTTTTTTTGTTTACGACGAATATAATTCACTGCATATGAGTTTTTTTTTTCTTACTCGATTTTTTAAGTAAAATATGCTGAAAATGAAGTCTTTTTTTTTATGGATCAATTTTAATGTTTTACTTTTTTTTTGCGAGTAAGTTGTGTTTAGAAATTTAGTTACAAAATTAATATTAAAAAGAAAATGATTTGTGTTATGTTCAATTTTTATTAAAGTCTTTATTACAATGCAGTAGCTGTCGTATAAAAATTCACAATTTTTTATATATTTGTGATACAAAAAATAAATTTAATTTTTTAAGTTGAGAAAAAAAAGAGATTTGCGTAAATTAGCAAATTATTTAGATTTGTTTAAAACGATATTTAAAATTTATTTCAAATAATCTTTTATAAAAAATTTTAATATTTTTATTTTAAAAAAAAAATTTCTAAAAATGACATTACATTATGAATGGTTAAATTTTAAATGCGAAAAGATGTTTAGATGTTCTGAATTTAACCATATTATTATGAATAAAGAAAATATTCATTAAATTTAAAATGTGTACGTTTAATTTATTTATATCTAATTGTATATGTCTCAGGGGTATCTACCAAATTTGAAAGTAAAACTAAACTCAAGTCAATTCGGTAGATTTTTGGAAAAAAATTTTTTAGAATGTGTTGTAACTTTAACAAAAAATTCTCTTACGAAATAAATATTAGTGGTGGTAGCATAATAAGAATAAAAAATTTTTTATTCTTTCCTGTGCAAGGGAAATTACTTGAAGATAGGTATTGAAAAATTTTAACTTGTTTGTTTCGATTGCCAACTGATATTGTAAATTTAAATAAAATCAACTTCTGCTACGAGTATGAGATGAAGGCTCAAAGTTTTATAACACTCGTTTATAACACCCAACAGGTTTAGAGGAGGACACGACGTTGGAACTGAATTTCTTTATAAACACATTTTTTACATTTTTAGATCAATTTATTTTAACTGAACTTATGCTATATTTATAGACAAAAAAATTAAATACAAGTTGCGTTATAAAATTAGTTCGAAATTTTATGTCTTAAATTTTTTTTTTCTTTTTGGCATTTTAGTTTGCATTTGAAATTAAAATTGTTTCCATCATAGTAACTTTCTTAAAGTACGTTTTTGTTAAGCTTTTGGATTACAATCCAAAAATTTTTGTGATTCAGTCTAAAATTAAAAAAACAAAAATAATTAAAATTAAATTTTGTAATATAATAAAAATAAAAATAATAAAATAAAAAAATTCAATTATGAGAAATTTTAATAGGTACACACTTGTATTAATCGGAAAATATCAAGTAGAATTTCAGTAGAACTTTTACAATTTTCATTTTGGACTCCTGTTCCATATATCGCTCCATTATTTCGTTTTCCCCAAACTGGTGTAAATGTAAGCTAAAAATTGTATGCGAGGTAAATATAATAATAAATATTCAATATTTTTTATTATTTTTAATATAATAAGCAATTTAAAAGGGACTTACTTGACAATTACACTGTAAGAATAGGGTAATTACTAAAATAAATAAAGCCAATTTTTGGGAGATCATGTTGATGAATAATGTTTTTAATATTTTGTAATTTTGTATTTATAGTTTTTTTTTTCAAATGATATTTTTCTCTTACGTCTAACCAAATTAAATGAAATGTAATTTATAAGATTTCATTTAATTAAAAATTATAATATATTATAATAAACGGGTATGTATGTGTACACTTATAATATGTAAAAATAACTTATGAAAATATTTATGTATATTTATACTATATAGCTTACTATGTATTATATAAAAATGTATATATGCCTTAATAGAAGTATAGTGTTACTATAATTAAAACTCTTATGATTAAAGAACGTAAGGGTTTGAAGTACTATAATGTACATATGTGGGAATGACTACTTCTCTTTTCATATTCAGTTGCACTTTTATTATAATAATATCTATTAATTACTTAATACAGAATTCATTTTTTTATTAGACTTATTTTTAGAATTCATTTATTATTCTAAGACTAAATTGTAAGCCGCTCTTTAAACTTTATAGTTAAATTTTATAGGTTAATATTGTTAAGCCTTGATAAGTTGGAGTTTTGGTGGTCAGTAATCAATAATATTTTATAGGTACTATTAATAAAGAAAAAATATTTTTGATTACAATTGTTTAAATCCATTCCATATGATTTTCATTTAATATTTCACACGGTCCATTTAATATTTCAAATAGTTGTGGATTTGTATGAAAATATGAGAGCCTGTTTTTAAGATAATTTTTTTCTATAACTTTATTTAAGAATATTTATATCTAAGAACATTATTGGTACAATATCCTTAAATTTATTCTTGAATGTTGCGACAATCGGCACAATTTTCTAATTAACTCCAGAAGAACTAAAGAAAATTTTTATTTATTAAGGCCAGTAAATCGCTTATTTGACTGCATTAGCTCTTACATACGAGTATACATATGTACATATATATGTAAATTAATAGTAATTTTTCCGATTTCAGTTGCAAGGTCACAACAATTAAGTTATTCGTCATAATTATTCATTTCCCTGTTGATTTTTAAAGAAATTTTTGTAAAGTGTGTAATTTTTCGTGATTTCAATGGCAAGGTCAAAAACATTGGACTATTCAACATTAATTCTTAATTTCTCTAAGAATTTTCAAGGAAATTTTGTTTTGTAATATATGGAAATTTATACTGTAGAAAATAATTTATTAAATATTATAGATTGTTACGATTGACAAACTCTGCTACAAATAAAAGTGGAATCCGCAAAATAAAATTATAAAGGAAAGAAAATCACATTCAAACAGGTGGTGTAATAAGTAAGAAAAAACTATGATTTTCATCCCACACATATGATTTACATAATATTTATTATTAAAATTTTTTAAACAGAATTATTTAGGAAACTCCGATATCTTTTGTAAAGAATTTTATAAATGAAAAAATTCTATTTGTTTCATTCGAGTTTATGTTCATGGTTTTAAGTTACGTAAGCTTATTTTGGAGGACAAAAAGAAAGAAAATTGCACTAATTTTTAGTTTTTCTCTTATGGCGGATAAGATACACATAAACATACACATAAAAAGTTCACTCTAAGATGAATTTATTATGATCAAGAAAATTATAAAAATCTATTTATATATTCATCGTCAGATTAATGTATTATGATGATCTTATGCATAAAAATAATAAAACACAACAAAACAATATTTTTTAAATTATTTTCAAAGTTCATTAATATTTAAAAAAAAAAAAAGAAAATTTAGGATTAAATACATTCTAAATTTTATTTTTTGTAATTTTTCTTAGTATTAGAATACAATTTTTATAGAAACATAAATTTTGTTGACTTTATTTTTTGTTTTTTAATTCTATACTAGAAAAATATATAATTATGTTAATTTTTTTTTTAAGAAATTTTACATATTATATTTATGTAAATTTTTTTATCAAAAAATGTAGTATTCGATATTATATAATGTTATTTAGGCACAATTATTATTGATATCATTAAATGATTGTTGTTTTATTATCTACATTGCTTACAAAAAATTATAATAAAAAAATTTTTTTTTTTATAAATGCTTGTTAGTATAAATACACATAATACAAAATATTATTTTTTTTAATAAATTAAAAACCCATATAGGTACATAATTTTATTAATGAACGAAAAAATTATTCAGAAAATAAAAATTCAATTAAATTAAATCCAATTCAAATATATGAAATGATCTTGAATTTAATTTTCTTTTCTTAAAATACTTTCATTCATTTAAAAAATTAATAAGCATAATTAATATTCCCATTTGAGATTGTTTAAAAAAAATTAATTTGTGCGTCCAGTTTTAGTAAAATTTTTCTATTATTTTATATTATGAACACAATATATAAGCTAATTATATCAGCTATTTTACAACCAGAGTTAGTTAAAAGAAAAATTTGTGCGATATTTTTATTAAAATATTTGATTTTAATAAAATATATTGTATGTAATATTTTATTTGTTAAATTAATATTCCAAATTCTGTACAATTTCATTATTAAAATTCAATGTTAGTATCAGTATGGAATTTCATTTAAAAAATTTAATAAATACTAAATAAATAAATAAGGAAATTATGAATAAAGAAAATAAAACACTCTTTGCAAATTAAAAAAAAAATTTCAAATATGTTTATATAATCGAGAATAAAAGTATTGTACGGATTTTTTTTCCGAAATTATACAAAAAAAAAAAAGAAAAAAACTTGGTTTCACGAATAATGTAGCAACTGGTACCTGTATCCTATAGGTATATTATATAAAAAAATATAGAAAAGTAAAAAAATGTCTTTTGCCTAAACTATGTTCTTGTGTTCTATAACAGTTCTAAATATAATATTGTGCATTATTCATGTACGGAATATTTTATATATATATATTTATAAAATAAAATATTCCTGTGATATTTTATCTTATTATATAATGCAATGTTTGTTTACGTTGCATATTTGTAAATTATTTTTTGAATTTATATAGATCAAAATAAAAATATACAATTCCTTTCATATTTCTACATTTTTTTGTTTTTTTCTTAAGAATGTTTTAATCATAATTTGACTTTATCGTTGGTAAATTTGTATGGGTTTTGGTTTTTATTGAATAAAGTTAAATCGGTTATTTGATTTCACCTACTTGTTAGTTTTGTAAATGTATACATTTAAATATTTTTTTTTTTTATTAATATATTATACAATAGCCTAATGTTAATATAACGCCTCTTCGTTTTCGATTTTCGTTTTTCTTTTACTTTTAAATATGCATAATGCAAATACAAATTTTTTAGTCTTTAAAAAAGGCAGCATTTATTTTTTGATTTTTTTCCATAACCTTCTTCAATATACGGTCGTTCAGCTACCTGGAAACGTCTTATTACTCTTATTAATTCATGAAATGCTTGATCTACATTTATTCTGAGTTTGGCACTACATTCGATGTATGGTATACCTAATGATCGACTCATATTTTGTGCTTCATCTAAAGAAACTTGTCTTTGACGATCCAAATCAGATTTGTTGCCAACCATTAACATTGGAAATTCATCACGATCTTTAACACGTAATATTTGTTTTTGAAATTTTGGTATTTCATCAAAGCTGGAATGATCTATCAAAGAAAAAACTAATAAAAATCCTTCACCAGAACGCATATATTGTTCTCTCATGGCACTAAATTCTTCTTGACCAGCTGTATCTAAAACTAAAATAATACGTTTTTGAAATAATTATGATAATGAAAATATTTTTGTAATCATACTGTCTAATCGAGCAGTGACATCATCAATTACACATTGTTTTGTGTAGGAGTCTTCTATCGTCGGATCATAATCTGTTACAAAATAGCTCTGAAATTTAAAAAGTAAAATATTATCTGAAAAAAGTTTATAAATACAAAACATATGTGTTTTTTATTGGATATTTAAAAGACTTTTTCATAAATAGTATGACGTAAATACTAAAAATAAGTTTTTCTTATTTAAATGTTAGACATACATATATATATATATATATTCATATTCATAAACACACTCAAGCATACATAAATATATATATATATATATACAAGCATTATTTTGTAAGTGGCTATAATATATTTGTAAAGAAAATTAGTGTTTATGACGTTATTACAGTGTATAGGCGAATCTCAATCTATAGGTACATATGTACAAATTTAATATGGTACATGAGTTTGCATATATTTATTACATTGTATGTTTATACATTATGATGTAATGTTTCATAAATATATGTGGGTTTATATGTCTCAACCTTAGAAATTTCCATATTACCTGTATGAATTGAATTGTAATGGCAGATTTTCCGACACCTCCTCCTCCAACTACAACAACTTTGTATGTTTGAATACCAGAGTTTGGATTATGTTTGGACATTTTCAATTTTTCTAAATCTACGAATTTACGATGAATATTTTTTAAAATAAATTTGGAAATTAGTTAATGATAAACAAACAACGCCTTTGTCTCTGACATTTCAAGATGTCAAAAAAATGAAAGTTTTCTAAATGATTCACCAAATCGTTCTGTCATTAATGTTATTTGTAGCCATCATTTTAGGTTTGGATCTTGAATAATTTATAAATAAAAGTTGTGTATATAGTATGTATAAGAAAACGTGTACGACCAAAAACTGTACAAGACTTTATGATATTACGAGCAAGTTATCCGTAATTAATTTAGCCATTTCATTTGTAGTATATTTTTCAAACTTCAGAGCATTCATTCGAGAGAAAATATGTAATATTTCGTTATAATATTTGCTAACAGGTGGCGATAAAAGAAAAGCCGATTAAGAAAAATTAATTTAAATTAAAATTTAAATTGCACTTCAAATTTTTATAGAAGCTAAAAAAAATACGGTTCAATATATTCAAATGTATAATTTTAGCAAGAAATAAAGATGCAACTTCAAAGTAGCACCAAAAACAGCTATATTTTCTGCCTTTGACTCTGCTGTCTGTCAAAATATGCGAAAGTCTTTGTTGTTGTTTTACTAAACAAAATTTCGAAACTGTTTGTCCTTTTACATCTTTAAAATATAGCAAGCTTTCAAAACGTTCGATGGGTAGCGCTGACAAACCTTTCGGAGAGCTGAAAAATTCAAAGATGTTTCAAAAATCAAATGTCAAATTTATTCAATGTATTAAATCACTTACTAACTGATATCAAAATTTTCTTGTTAACTAAGCAGACAATAAACTGAAAATTTGAAATATTTTAATGTATGTATGTGTTGGTAAAATTTTTGAATGAACTCTATTATACCTGTCGTACATATTATAATAACTATTATATTTTATATTATTCTTCTTTTCTAAGACATGTATATTAATTATCTTTCTTTCAAAAACAGAAAATGAGAGTATCCACATGTTTTATAAATTATCTATAGATGTCACGTAATGCAGTTGTTTTAGGAAATGTCATTTTCAATGTCAAAAGTTATTTGACATTTTGACATAGATAATGCAGTTTAATATTTTGATTCAAAAATAAACAGTCAGAATTTCCTATACAACACATAAGTTTGCAAAAAAAAAAGTAAAGATGAGATCGCATTTACCAGTTCCGGAATTTAATGAGAATATTTTAAACGATTCTTCGAAATTAGTAATATAAGTATTATCAAATAGTAAAAATAAACTAATTTTTCTTGTTTTTTTATTAAGTTACATAGAAAAGATGAGCAATCAAAGCTAAAACGACCTCCAAAGCTTAGGCCTAGAAATATATATGAATCCTCACCATTTAATAGAAGTGGAAATTCATCAGTGTTACAAATATCTTTCAGAGATACTAGTTGTCACGAAGAAGAAATTTATAGCCCATACTATGATCAATCAAATAATGAAACTTATTTTGAACAATGTTTCGAATTAGGTAAAAGTTTTTTTTTTCTGACGTAAATTACATTTTTAAAAGTAATTATTTGTAGTCTCGAAAATTGGAGAAGGCTCTTTTGGTGAGGTATTCAAAGTTCGTAGCAAGGAAGACGGTCATTTATATGCTGTAAAAAAATCAAAAAAACTTTTTCGAAGTGGACCTTATCGTGATGAACGTTTAGAGGAAGTAAAACGGTATGAGCAATTTTCAAACCACAACCACTGTGTTAAATTATATAAGGCTTGGGAGCAAAATGATCGTCTTTATATGCAAATGGAACTATGTGAGGGTAGCCTGGAAGATTACTCCCGAAGGAATAATTATATTCCTGAATCAAAAATTTGGTCAATTTTATTAGATTTGCTTCTAGCATTGAAAATATTACACGATCAAAATTTGTTACACCTTGATATCAAATTAGAAAATATATTGATAGGTGATGATGGATTATGCAAATTAGCCGATTTTGGGCTTGTTTGCGATATAGAAAGGGTGAGTGCTAATTTTTCTTTTTTAAAAAGTCATTGAAAATCTTAAGTTCGTGAACCATATTTTTTGATATTTTAGGCAAATTACCATCAAGCTAACGAAGGAGACTCAAAATACATAGCTCCAGAATTATTGAGAGGTTATTTTTCTAAAGCAGCTGATATATTTAGCCTGGGTATTTCAATTCTTGAATTATGTAGTAACATAGATCTTCCTCAAAACGGACCGCTCTGGCACATCCTGAGAAGTGGAAATTTACCAGAAGAAATTTTAAGACGTAATAATTGCTTTTGATTTGGTGATAATCATATTTTTAGCAATATGTTTTATAGCTTTATCAACAGAACTGCAAACAGTGATAACGCAAATGATGGCACCAAACCCTATGATGAGGCCGACTGTTGATCAATTACTAAACTATGATGTAATTTTAAAGCTTAGGAGGAGGCGCAGAGATATATTTAGCGAATTGGTAATTTGACCTTTTTTTATCTTTAATTTTTAAACTAAAACAATCTTTATTTTCTTTTAAATAGAGACTTGCTTTAAAAAAAGTCAGAAAGTTTATTTGGGCGAAAATTTGTAGTTCTAAAGTGCTAATAGTTTATTACTTTACTCGATTATGGAATATTTTTAAATTGACCGAAGAGAACGATAAAAAATCAAAAGAAAGTCCGAATAGCTCCAATGAATATTTAGAATTTTCTTCAGTGCATGAATCACCAAACAATAATTTTGGAAATAAAAGCGTAAACAATATAGTAAATTCAACTCCATTGATGCATCATTCTCATAGTAGTATTCGTTCAAGAAAAGACTTATCAAAAAATAATTTCAGGTACCTATTTTCAAAAGAAAATAAAGAATATAAATTAAAAATTTCAATTTTTTTAGATTTCTTAAATCATGCGATGACAATCTGAACTCATCATCTGTAGTAGGAATAGCCAAACAATTATTTAAATCAGACTCTGATTCTTCAGAATAAAATTCCTCTTCATAATTAGATTATGTATTATGATCTTTAAATTTTTATATATTCATATATATATATATATATACATATGTATATTCATATTATAAGCATATTTAAGTATGATTAATTTTGTTATACTTTTTAATTCAAAATATATTGTGATATTAAACTTCAAAGAGTCGGCGGATAACAAAATATGAAGAACTCTGTAATTACCTACATTATCTACAATAGAATATGTAACTATATAATGTATTATATATTTTTGGAAGCAGATAAATAGTTGGATTAAATAAAACTCGAAATTTTATATTAATTTTTTTGTCAAATATTTAATTATTATTAGTAGCTAATGTTTATAATTTTACAGCAAAATTTTGTACTTATTATTCGAAATGTTCAGTTTATGTACATACCTACATACATACATACCTTATTTTTTTAATCTACTTTTTCATATTTAAATCTAAAATGAATCATGTCTAGGGCTTGTGCAAAATAAACGAAAATGTCTACAAAATTATTCAAAGGATAGTATGTGCATATTAAACGTATCATGAAATTAAGAATGGTATTAGAAGTATATTTATATAAATTATGTAGGCTTATGCATATAACATTAAGACAAATACTTTGAGGGAATGCTAGATAAAAAAAATTGGTATTACATAATAATTTTTCAATTCTCTTTCATTAAAATAATAAGAGAATTTAATTTCGAATTGCAAAAATGAGAAACTCTTAAAAACTCATAATAAAAATATTTGAATAATATTGATATTTATGTACATATGTTATTTTATATTTTATATTTAAACAATTGTTTTGATCACAAATAAGAATTACTCATGAATTTTAATAATGGAGAAGAAGGTTAATTTGTGGCTACAATTTTTAACAAAATTTATTTGATCATATTTGAAATAAATTTTTCGGTTAAAAAAATTTGTTTTAAAAAGAATATGTTCTGCGTAAGAGTGAAAATTTAAGAGTGATTAGAAAATGAAAACTCCGTGAGAGAGAAAGTAAAAAAAAAAATTAGTTCAGTTCGAGTTGGAAAAAATTTAATTAAATTTTTTAAGGTATAAATCGTTTATAACGTATATAAATATATGATATATAATTTGGACGTAGTTACAGTAGCTAAGTATGCATATCATATGTACATATATGTATGTATGGAATAAATAGTTTCTGAAATAATATTGCCGATTTTGTTAATGCTTCATAACATCTTAGTTAATGAAGATCCCCTAAAATATGTAGAGTATTATTGACTTTTTCTAACAAAATAAATTAAAAAAAATATTAATACTAGTGAAAGTAGAAAATTTTGGTTTTTTTTATTTTGACAGATTTATTTTTCAATTTTAAAATTTGACTTTCAGTAAAATGAGTAAAAATTTTAAGTATTTATACTATAGTGAAAAAGAGTGAAAAATTTTAAGTGAAATAAATTTTAGGACTACTACGGCAGATGCTGTATGGTTACAGCATAAAATATGATCGAATGGACCTGAAACAGAGCCATTATTTATCAAAATTGAGTCATTCTCCTTAAATCAAAATTGAAATTAAAACTTTTTCGTCGTGGAAATGTTGATAAAAAACCTAAAAATTTAAACCTACTAGTCTATTTGTAGTACCAGTCTATTCTCATAAATATTGTCTACGGTAATGTCTTTATATCTAACAAGTCCCAATGCTCAGAGAGAAACTTGAAAGCACACCTTATTTTATATGGCCTTTTTTAAATCGAAGTGGCTATTTTTTGAGAAGAAATATTAAAATAAATTCACACTTATTATAAAGCAAGTAAAATTTAGAACATATATTTGAAAAATCAAAAAAATATATTAATATTTTCATTGATAATTATTTTAAAATTTTAAAAAAAGCGGAAAAACAACAAACACAACCTTCGCCTTCAACGTTTTATATGTTACTGAAAGCATTTCATTATTTTTAAGTGAACAGCTTTTTTTTCTCATAGGGTAAGTTAACTCAAGATATGGGAAGTACCTGTGGTGTCAAGTTGAAAATATAATAAATGAAAGATAATTATTAAATATTGATATAAATACGTAGTAAAGAAAAAATTTTAAAAGCGAATTAGAAAATAATATCTAAAATACAATCAAATATTAATTGTTAAATACAAATTTTATATAAACTTCAAAATTTTACCTCAATTTTTATTTGAAAAAATATTAAAATTTTACGATCATTTATATCAATTACCTAAGAAAAAAAAATATTTAAAATGTTTGGAAAAAACAATCATATATTTTTATGACCGGATTTGAATATTTTTCTATTTTTGAAATAAATGGTATTTTACCAAATGACTCAAAAATTCCGACTGTAAAATAACAGGTATTTTAAAATTTTTGTTCAGGTATTTTAAAATTCTTTCCGTTTAGAATTAAGATAGGTCATACATACACATGCAGGGACATTTTATAAATAGATTGCTCTTGTTTACCTGCTAATAAAATATGAAAAAAGAGCACAGCAAAATTTTTGAAGCACTCAATATACTCGTAACATGTTTGAAATAGTTTTAAAATAATTATTTAAAGAAAATTGGTTGGAAGTAGGTACATACATATTTATTTTTAATAATTTAAAAACTAACTGAAATTATTTGAAACAATTTTATAAGTAACGTATGAATAATCGAAATGAGATAATTCAAATTGTTGAAATGTGTCAACCTATATTACTTTTAATAACATTTTTGTTAGCCGACACTACTCAACTTACCTTATTGGGAAATACAAAATGTGCATAAAAAATCATACATCCTTCCTCATTAACATTTGAAACCATACTGAAATATGAATTTGAAATTTTTTTCATTTTTTCTTTCCTCCTACCTTTCTTTCTTTTTCGTGCAATAGAATTTAAATGGGAAGCTTTTTAAAAAATGTGTATAATATCCTGAGATTTTTTAAAATATTAATCTCTTTTTTACGTAAAAAAAAAGAAAAAAATAATAAAAAATGTGACACGATCAGTGGCATTTAAAGAAAAAACCAACAACGAGGCCAAAAATTCGTAACATTTCGTAAAAAAAATTGAGTATTGGGACTTGTTAGATATAAAGACATTATCTATGGTTATAACGGCAACACTAAAATGTCTTGTTTTTGTTTTTAAAAACCTCTTTTACCAAATCTCATGTCACTTTCAGGTGCCTTTGTTTAATGTCATAATATATTTAGTTGAGTGAAAACAAAAATTTTTGTTTATTTTGCCAATGCATTTACTAGTTTGTCTTTGATTTTTTCGTAAATAATTTTCAAAAAGGTTATTTTTAATACTGGATAGTTCATATACTTGTTTATCATATTCAATATTCAATACAAAGCTTTTTAGAGAAATGGAATCATCATCAAATAACAAAATAACAGATAAAACGAGATGTGAAATCTTAAAACTTTTAGAAGAAGGAAAATCTTATTCACAGATTTATAGACAGTTTATGTTGAAAGCTCCAACAATATCATCAATTTTTGAATGTCAAAATAGAGTAAAAAATCAAGAAGAATGCAAGAGTGGCAAAAGCAAAAAAATCGTACTCGGATATTATGATATAGATAAAGCTGTTTTCAAATGGTACAAATATAATACCCCGCTGGAGGTACCTATAGATGGAAAAATGATAATAGCGAAAGCTAATGAATTTGCAAAATTAGGAAACCTAAAAGGCTTTAATTGCGCTCATTCATGGCTTCAAAGATTTCGTGCTAAACATAAAATACCTGTTCGTGGAAAAATTTTTATTGAATCTTCAAAAGTCGATCGAGTATTATTCGAAAATTCTTTTGAAAATGTTTGGCCAACCATGCGTAGAGATTATGAAGATGATGAAATTTTCAACGCCGTCGAAACAGCAGTACTTTATAAAGTTTTACCTAATCAAATAATTAGACTAAAAGGTGAAAAAGGTTTCGAGGAGACATTACCTCAAGAAAGGATAACTGTTTTAGTTGCAGCTAATATGACAGGTACAAGAAAAATGGAACTGGTGGTTATAGGCAAATCCAAAAATCCAAGGTGTTTTAAAAATGTAAATGTTCTGCCCGTAAGATATTACAACGACAAAAAAGCGTTAATGACAAGTATTATTTTTGAAAAAATTTTAAAACGATGGGATACATCACTTAGAAAAGAGAAAAGAAAAATTTTACTGGTTATTGATGACGGTCCTGCTCACCCACAAGTCGAGTTAGAGAATATTAAATTAATTTTTTTACCAACCAGCTGCAAGCCTATTATGCAACCACTTCATCAAGGTGTTATTAAATCTTTGAAACTGCATTTTAGGAAGCAATTAATTTTAAGTGCGATAAAAAAAAAAGAACTTAAACAATCGAATAAAGTTACGCTTTTGGAAGGGATTCAACATCTTTCATGTTCCTGGCAACAAGTTACAGAAAATTCTATTTCCAACTGTTTTGAAAAAGCAGGGTTTACAAAATGGGAATTAATCCTACCATCGGCAGATTTCAATTATGATGAAGATGAAGCTGTTCTATCAGAATTGCGATTGTTATTAAACAAATTTCCACATGTATCATCTTTGAATGATTACATAGATGTAGATAAAGATTTACTTACAAGTTATGTACCAACTGTCGAGGAGATTGTAGATGAAGTCTGTGCCGAAAATAAATGGACTAATGAATGCGATACCGACAGTGAAACGGAGAGCGAAACTGAAACCGAGAGCGAAAAAAGTGAATTAAACGTAGATAAAACTTTAAACAACATCGAAGGCGTTACAACAAACGAAGAACTGAAAACAAAAATTCATGAAAAATTAAAGTTATTAAACTAGTTGATGATTTTTTGAAAAAGTTTTTTGTCCAAAAAATTCAGAAAGTGCCTAGAACCGCAGTGTTGTTCATGTTCGTATTGCTTATAAGTTGTTCTAAAGTGCGCAGATTTTCAAAAAACAATATTTAAAAAAAAAAATTATTTTCGAAAAGTTTTATTTCTAGCTATTTTAGGGGTTCCACTTGATCAATGACGCTGGATCGTAAATGCTATTCAGAATCTGATGTATTAGGTCGTAAAACAACAAGACAAAAAATTAAAAAAAAAATTTCACCATGTACAGAATGTGCATATATACATACATATGTATGTATGTATATTTGTATATACATATTATATTTAGATAAAAATTTCTTTATTTTTAAGTATATGTATTTGTACTTTTTACATCACAAAATAAATTTATTATGTAATTAAATAGACGTTTACTTCTTATAGTACATACAAAATGCATAGCTTACGAAAATTTATGATGCTGTGAAGTATAGACCTATGTATGTACATATGTATATTCAATTGACGAATAACCGTTTAATCAAACTATGTTATTGAGAACTGTCATTAAAATGAAAGAGATTTGTATGAACGCAATACTGCAAAAACATAACGCAAATTTTTTTTAATTAATTTTTAACATTTGCTTTGTCCCAAGAACGAAAAATTTTTAAATGTAAGTATTTATATATATGAACATATGTATTATGTAGGTATTTAAATAAATATTAAAAAAATTTCCGTTTTACGAAAGTTATTAAAATTACAAATTTAATTTGACAGAGAATGTTTGATTTTTTTGAACTAAAATCGTGTTCTAAAAATAATTTTTAGCCAAAAGATTGCCTATGTTCTAAAACGTTATTTGGCGTCTCTGAATTTTGAAATTTGAATAATTGAAATATATAGTTGTCAGAAGGCTTTTAAGTAAAGACAGGTAAATAAAGATATTTTTAATTTTTGATAAAAAATGACTCAAAATGTATGTATTTTAGATAAAAAAAGACGTTTTCTAGAAAATATTTTAAAACTGAATCCAGTTGGTACATTGGTTTTATATATATATGTATATTTTTTTTAATTCGTACGATATTTTTTCATGTCAAAGTAATGTCAGCGATATATGTATATTACTTTTCCAATAATTTCTATGCTACTAAAACAAAAATTGAGTACCCTAATTGAGACTTTAATGATATTGGGAGTTTTTAAAAATGCAGTTTTTATGGTTAAAACTGTAAAGCTTTTAATATTTCACGTACAATTTAAATATAGAGCTTTACAGTTCTTTAGAAGTGCATTTTCCAAAAACACCCATTTTTAAATTTTTAACATTTAGAGTGAAAATATAAAACTTAATTCAATTTTCCTCTTCTAAAATTTTTGACAGGAACAAATCGTATTTGTCATGCAATATTAAAAAAAATTCTTATATGTACATATGTATGTGACACATATGCATGCATATTTTTACTTTAAAAATTTTTTTTTAATTTTAAGACGTTTTAACTCTATTGTAATTGATTTTATAACTCTATTGTAAATAATTTGTATTTGTCAATCTATAAAATTGAAAGCAATTGAAATTCACACACTTTATTATTGCACTGAATAATATGGATATATATGTACATATTTTTCTAGATTTCAGATTTAGTTTTGGAAAACAACTTCTAGCAGCGAAAGAAGTTTCTTGAGTTTCGAAATGCAATATGAAATAATAAAACTACGTACGTAAAATAAAGTTTTTTTTTAAGTTTTCTCATGCAATATTTTTATTATTTTCTTACATATAACTGAGAATTTCTTTACCGTGAATATTTTTTAAAAAATTAAGAGAATTTACATAACTTTTTGTGTTTTTTTTTTCTAAAAAAAAAAAAAAACAACATTAAAAATATTGTATACAAAACTTACACAAAAAAAACGAAAAAAATTTTTTATTTTATTTTAATTTTCTCTCTTCTCTTAAATTTTCTTAACTCTTAAATTCAATTTATTTTTTGCCTTTAATAATAACAAACGTTGTTTTATATGTTGTTTTTTAATCTTTGGTGGCTTGAAAACAAAATACAAAATAAGAAGAAAAGAAAAATAAAAAATAAAAAAAAAAAATAACTATCATTTGAATTTTATATTCAGCGCTCGCTATCCAGGTTTTGTTTTTTTTTTTTTTATTTTCAATGTACGTACATACGTTGCCTTGCCTTGCCGGTAAAAATTTTAATTCCCATATTTTTATTTTCAGTGTAACGTTGGTATTTGGCCTAGTCGCAAAGGAATTTTCATTTTATATTTTTAAAACCGGAGCGAAATATTCTCCTCGTTTAATATTTTTTTTTTAATTTTTTTTTTTGTTTTTTGTTCATATTATAATTTTTGTGTTTTCTTTTAAATTTCTGGTTAAGCAGGTTTTCTTCTCTCTTGAAATCATACTGCTTGTGTTAAATACATACTGCGCTTTGGAAAGTTAAAAAATCTTAAAGGAAAAGAAATAAAATAAAAACTATAAAAAAAAAAATCAAGTAATCAATTTTTGAAATTTCTTAAAATTCTATTTTTAAAAAAAACAAATTTTCAAATTAAAATTTTACAAAATAAAATAAACGCGCAGACTTTATAATTAAATTTTTAAAATAGACAAAATAATAATTGGTAAAAATTGTCTCTTCTATATGATAAATTTATTTTTGGTTATTAAGCGTTGAATAACAAAAAAAAAAAATTAAGAATGATAGTGAAATAAAACGAAAATAACAATAATAATAATAAAAAATAAAAATAAATACAAAATTGTTGATTAGTTATGGTATTATTTAACAATTTTTTAGTTAAACTTAAATAAAATGTCAAGGTAAAAAACTTACAAAATATTAAATAAAAAAAAAAAAATTAAACAAAATTAGTGTGTAATGAGTGCTTTTTAAACAACAACAAAAAAAAAAAATAAAAATAAATGTGCATTAAATGCCTAAATATAATAATTATAAAAAAAAATTTTTTTGATGTGAAATATAACAGTATAATTATATGTTTTGATAAAAATTTTATACATAAATTGGTGTACATATACATGTATACATATATTGTCCGCCAATAGCATAAAATTCCAAACATACAACATATAAAATATTTTTTATTTTATTTAAAAAAAAAAATAACCGGATTTCATAATCTTTGATTTTTTTTTGTGTTTTTTTTTTTTTTTTCGAAAATAACTCTGGGATATTTGCAACAATTACATACTTTAATAATAAAATATGCGAGAAGAAATCTAGTCTTATAAATTAGCCAACATAATTTTGCAACATTAACGAAAAAAAAAAAAACAAATTTAAGGAAAACCTAACTTTTTGGTAATTTTTTTAAATTTTTTATAAATTAGTAATCGTATTAATTATATTTTAAAAATATATGATTAAAAATATTGAATATAATTAAAGCAATTAATATAAATATAAAATTTATTTAAGTCCAGTTTAATGCCTATTTTAATCAAAAAATAATGTAGGTATATACACTTACTGTAGGTATTGTAGGTCTTACACTTTATCAAACAAAAAAGATTTAAGAATATCAACAAGAAATTTTTTTTAACAAATTTCTAAAGGGGAGAATAAAATTCGAAAATAATAAAAAAGGATAATAATACTGTATGTGGAGATTATCTGGACATTTGATTCAGCCTTTAGTTCTGACGTAATTGGTATCTCAGTATAATTCAAAAAAATAATCAGTGGAGCTTCCAAAACTCGAACCTTTACAACTTGAAAATCTCCTTTCATACCTCGGAATACCTCGGAACCAGAACATTGGCACTTATGCCTTGAATATTTGCATAACTTTTTTCCCTTCAACTCGAAATCTCCTTTCGAAACTCGAATTATTGAGATTTCGAACTGAGAAACTCGAACTGAGTCGTCCAACTTGAACTGTTTTAGCGTTCCCGTGTGACTTCGAGTTATAAAGGTCCCGTTAGTAATTATAAAGGTCCCGTTGTATTTTATTTTTTTTTTTTAATTAGAAAAGTTTTGGTTAAAAAGTTTGCAATGTGCTCAGTATTTCACGTTAGTTTTCATCACTGTAGTATATTTTCTTATTATAAAAAAAGAATAATGAAACTGAAGTCTATGTATATATTAGTGCTTAATAACCTATAACTTTGTCAGCACTAAACCAATGACGTCAACATTAAGCCTGATTCGTTACCATTATTGAAGAATAAAAAGAGCTAATTTCAATTTTTTACGGTTACCTTATCTTTGACGCTTTTTACAGGCATTTTGGCTTGTAGTTTTATATGTACGCAACACATGTATATATGTATATGCGCGGGCATAAGCAAATATAATTTTGCTGTTAAGATTTGAGTTTTGGATTTTGTTGTTAATTGAGCTATTCGAAAATAAAATTTTATTAAAAAATTTTCATTCATTAATTTTTGTTTAGATTCGATATAAAAGACAAATCGATAATTTGGAAGGGCTTCGATCTATAATTGTCCGAATTATTGCCACGATACTTCATATACAAATTATTTCCTAATTTAGTTTTAAAGAAACAATTTAAAAGTAATTTATATTTTTCTTATAAGTACTGCAAGAAATTTTTCAATTTAGAGAATAGAAATTAGAACAATTTATAACTATCATACTTATGAGCTAACTTTGTATTGGACTCAATTTTTCTCACTTAAACACCCATGCGAACATAAACTTTTAAATTGCATCAAACAATTACATATAAGTACTTTTTAAATTATACTTTTTGAAGTAACTCTATTCGATGCAACCTTAAAAACAATCTAAGTATGTATACCAATATTGTACCACTCAAAAATTAACATTGTCATACCTATATATGTACATAAATTTTTTTATAATTTTAAATACCTTGTTATACAAAATGCCTGCCTGCATATATACATAAATTGTTATTGCATCAATTTTAATTTGCAATATGATCATAATTAAAGTAAAAATTTATAATGAGATTAATTCAATAACACAGATAAACTCAAAAAAAAAAAAAAAAAATTCAAAAACAAAATTTCCAATTTAGTTTGAACCAAAAGTGTTAATTGAATTCGAATGTAATAGGTATACAAAAATATCTACATGAACGAACCTATTACTACTTATTTATTTATTTAAATGTTACATTATTTATTTAATTATGTAAACACCCTTGAAGTACCAAACAAACAATATAAGTATGATTATACATACATATTTGTGTTACATATGCATATATAAGTTGCATGTAAAGTGTATTTTGAAATTTCATTTTGATGTTAATTGAACCTGTCTATAAGTTGCTTATATATAAATTATAATTACTTATACTGGTAGTTTATTTTCACTTTAAAAAAAACTTAATATATTAAAATGAAAATAGTTGACATTATACGCTCATATTATTTAAATTATATTACCTATGTGCGTATATATATATATGTATAGATGTGTGTACATTTATATACGCTTATATATCCAGCTTCCATTACAATATGTGTATGTGTCTATGGTGAAAATATTGCAATAACGAAATTTGTTTTGCAAAATAAATACACGTATTTCGGTGGTGAAAAGGTAAAACAATCTAAATCTATTTAAGAACAATATCAAAATATTACAAATTTTTTGAATTTCTCTCCTTAAAATCAGATAATTTTTAGATTTAATTAAATTTAAGTAAGAAAAATGACTTTTAAAACATTTTGCCTACTTTATATATATATATATATATTTTTTGAAAAATATGCTCAAATCTCGTACAAATTTGGCTAAATTCAAAAATATGTTATAACAGAGAATATAGTTCTAGAAAATTTGTACTCATATTTTTACAAATCGTATTGCAATGTAATAGATTTACATAATTTATGATATCGTATATTACTCTATATCACGTGATATACCGAAAATGCTCTTTATGTATAGAGAATATAGAGAATCAGAGATTAGAATCGAATTTTCAAAGGCTTAGTATAACAGTTTTTCTAAACTGATTAAAACATGTACTTGCTTCTTAAATTAATATATTAACTTTAATTTCAAAAATTTCGATTTTAGTTTTTTAATTTTCGAACTTGATTTTTCCACTTATATAAGAATTAATATATGTATTTTAACTAATGCAATTTCAACTTATTACCACAGATTTTATGAAAATCAAAATAAAAATACTTAATGTTACTACTGGCGTTAGCCAAATATGTATGAATGAAAGAATTTATATATACATATACATATTGTGTAAAATTGTATACAATATTTTTACAAATACGAAAGGATAACAATTATAATCATACGTACATACATACATATACTTATTACTTATACTTACTCATTTTGTGCAACAATATTTTTGGTATAACAGTTATAATTTTATCTATATATTTAAGTATAAAAATAACTATGAGTGGTCTTCTTAATACTCAACGCCTTTATTATTATTGTTATTATTACAGATATGGTGGCAAATATAGTCTTCTTTGTACTTTTACATGTTATAACTTTTATATGCTCTCATATATTGTAGACATTTAAGATAATAATTGTAAATTCGTGTGAAAAAAAAAATTGAATTATATTAAGTAAAAACTTTTTATATTTTTTAATTAATATCAAATATTTTTAAATTTAAAATTATTTTTTTGTTTATTATACTTACTATTTTATTTATATATGTGTAGTGTATACTTGTATAATGTAGTCTCATAAATTCCTTATAAGTACATTAAATTTCAGAGAGTCATTGCTCATTTTATACTTGCTTTTCTAAAAAAAACAAAAAAAAAAAATTTTTTTTTTTACTATATATAGTTATTGTATGTAATCTCGTAGACTTTGAAATTTTTTAGAAATATAAATAATATATGAACATTGTTTATCACGTCCATACATACATACATATATGTACATTTAAATGTCTTATGAAAATTTGTGTTTTTGTTTTCGTACAAATGAACGTATAATGCATAAAAAGCTGTCCAAAATAGAAGCACATTAAATGTTAAAAAGAAAAAAATTGACAAAATGTAAACAGTTAGGTCTATACTAAGACTTACTCTGAATATCGAATCACTAAGTGATAGTGATATTTATATTAAACGTTTCAAAACTGTTATATTATTATAGACATGAATTATTTGTATGAATTGTAAGCAATTGATGTAGGCAAATAATACTATACGAAAATATTTAACGGAGAGACGTGTTGCAGACGTTTATATGTAAGGAAATCATTCCTAATTTCATTGCAGTATGCAAAATAAACAAAATTTAAATATACCATGACTATAAAATTATAACAATACGGTATTAATATACGAGTACAATTTAGCAATTACAACTTATAACTTGACTTGAAAATTGCTGTTATATTGTAGATGCTATTTTGCTATAATGCATTTTATTACTATTATTTTACAACTGTAATAGTGTTATTTTGAGTTCACGTGTACCCAATATTTTTTATACAAGTAATATCCAAATTTTTTTTCATCCAAATTTCTTTGTACAAAAAAAATATCCTTAATAAATGATTAAAATATATATTTGTTCTTGTCGTGCAAATACATAATTTTTCAAAAGAATATTTACCGTCTTTTTTTCTCTTTTGTAATTTGCTTAAAAAATCTTAAAAAAATTATTTACTTTTAATTCATTTTTTAATTTAAAATTTACTTTAAATAGTAAATTTTTTTCATTTTTAATTTTGATTTTATTTATTTTGTCAGTTAGTGTATTTCTATTTTGGACAACCGTAAGAAAACATTGTGAGACTCGAATCAACATTATTGTAAATAGAGAAACAAAAAAAAAAAAAAGAGTAAAAATCAAAAATGTCAACATTGGAATAAATGATACAATTTAGATAGATATGTAGATTTGTATGTGTATTGTGCATAAGTCATGCTTAATATGCATGTACATTTTATATTATCAAAAGTTAATTTTGTTTTCTATATGCTTAACTCTGAAATTTAAGTATATTAAAATAATAATCTATGTATATGCACAATTTGATTTTAATAAAAGTATAAGATATTTAAGTATATTAAGTATCATTTTAAAATAACTGGTTTACATACATATGTATGTATGTTAATTTGTATACATGTGCACTTATATACAAACAGTATGCCTTAGCTTGTTTTGCATGTGATTTTTACTATTTAATTTTTTTTTCATATTGTTAGTTAAAAATATGAACAAACATTAAATATTTTGCAACATAACTACTTTATGTGAAATATACTTTAAGTATGTAGCATTGAAACAGATAGAAAAATTAGATTAAATGCTTAATGAAATTATAATTTATTATATTTTCTATTTATATATTTATT